ATTGGTGAGAAACTATAGACTAATTGTTTGCAAAAATAAAGCAACTTTTTGGCAAGAAATTTTGGAAGGCAGATCTACTTACATTTCTTGGCTTTATTCCTTTATTTCTTTTTTTCAGCCAAAAAATGCTAAAGGTGCTTGCTGCTCTCCTGAGGTGTTGTAGGATGAATGGAGGGGTAAAGGAGAATGTTCTGAGCAGTCCCTGCTCAGAGGATGTGCTCATGATGCTGGCTCCTTTCACTTTTTCACATCCCTCTTTAAATAATCTAGGTGGTTATTTCAATTTCCTGCATGCTCTCCCAATTCTAAATTGTTATATTTATCTGATGTGAGCTGTAACAAGAAACCATATGGGAGAGTTTGGGGAGGCACCTATGAGTACATATTTATAGTAACTCAGAGTTTTTGTTGTCAGGTAGCAAAAAGTACAGTTTTATTTCACAAAAAGATGATGCTGTTTGCTTTTTATTAATCAGAATGTAAGGTTTTATTCATCAATATCAAATGGCTAAAAACATCCTCTGCAAATCTGGTTTGGTGGTGACATAGCTGTTTCCCTGAACATCCCAATGTATTTTATTTTTTTTAAATTTTTTAAAATTTATTTTATTTATTTATTTTTAAATAATATCATACCAATGTATTTTAAGGTTGAGTTAAAGATACAAAAAATACACAGTTAAACAAACATGACGACATAAGGAAAGTGGGTAATGAGGGGTAAGGGTATACTCAGAATCTCTCAGGCCTCATGATCTGAGCACAGATGGACTGCTGGTGAAGCCAGCATCTTGCAAGGTTGTCACAGGCTTTGCCAAACTACAGTATAGGCAGATATTGGAAAGAATTAGATGATGTAAACACCAGCAAGTGTCATCCAAATATGTAACCAACAATATTGGAAAATGTAGCAGCCACCAGCAAAGAGAGGTGATGTTGATTTGTGTCTTTGATTTGTAAAAGAATACTTTGTCATTTTGACAAATGGTTAGGAAGATAGGAAGTAAAAAAGACACATTCCTACCCACCAGCCCAGTGCCCCAGTCACTTCCCAGAAGTAAGGTCAACTACCGGCCATGGAAAAGCCAGTCATATTGTGCTAGAATGAGCATCACTGGGACAATAGTTATTTAAAATAGAATTTTTTTTTAATCATGGAAAATTTTAAACATCCAAGAGTAGGAAGAATAATAAAATGAACCCTTGTATACTCACCAGCTTCCCAAATATGAACCTTTTGCTAGTCTTTATAATTACTTTTTAAGATAAGAAGTCCAAAGTACGGTTGGCTGTGGAACCAAAGGTGACATCAGGGAGTGTCACTGATGCAGCGTGCTTTGGCCAGGTGATAGAATGTATATTCTGTGTGCACAAAGCCTAGTGAAGAAGCTGGAAATACAAAGTAGTCTGTGATTGAGTTAACTGTGTCCCGGGGGGAGTTGTGGTGATGACTGCTCATTTATACTCCTATTACCTTTATCTTCCCCATTGCAACCCTTTTCTCTAGTACAATGCCTAGCACATAGCAGGTGCTTAAAAACTGTTGTTGAATAAACAAGCCTTCTTTATAGTTTAGATCTTGACTGCACAGAGACCTCACTTTGCAACATAACTAACCTTTGCATGATACTTTTTTTAAAGCATGACAGAATCACATTTGCATTCAGCCTCAATCTTACAACTAAGCTAAATAAATTTACAATAAATACATTTGAATAGAATCATAGTAACAGCATAAAAATACCTATCACTGTACCCTGACAATTTTAATTTTGTTGCAGTTAACTTATTTAATAAGGTAAGGAAACATTTTCATGCGCTCCTTGTAAGTTGAATAGCAAACAGGAAAAGACACCTAATCCGATATCTACTACTGAATCTCGTACACGGTGAGCTTTCCTGTATATATCAGTTCCATTTTAATGTGCCAAATTCATGTGGCAGAGAACATAACGAACACATGGAACCCTATTGAACTTGGCTCTGAAATTTCAGAGGTCCCTTTGAAACTTGGCCTCATGACTGTTAGAGGGATTATCAATATTTGAGCATGTGAGTCCCAATATTGTGCCTGCAGAATGCTTCCTAATGTGTAGCAGCTGCTTGTTCTGTGTGTGGAGTCAGAGGTTACCAGGTCCTAAATGCTTTTTTTGGGGGGGTGGGTGGGCGGGAGGGAGAGCACCAATGCAATCCCCTACTACCACAAATTATGCAGTCGAGTTTTCCACATTTGGGAAATCGCAGGGTTCAGCACATCTGGAGTACAATGGGAAAACCACCTTCGTGATCATGGTATCTCCCCTGCCAGGTAGGTATCTAAATTCTAATAGCCTTACATGCAGTAATTCATTTAATTCTTGAAAAAAAGCCTATGAAGTGATACCTTTTAGATTTCATAGCTATGTATGAGGTAGCTGATCATGGTTACTGGCACAGGAAGGGTTAGGTCTGAAGTCCAGCCCAGGCACTGTGCCCCCAGAGACCCCACAGGTAGCAGCGCTCTGCTACTTCCACCAAACCTGCTTGATTCTCACCTCTGGAACACTGCACTCATGTGGACACTGATAGGTGGTGGGCATCCCCAAAGTGCCAGATTAACTCACAAAATCACTCTTTTGCAGTGGTGCCAGATAACGGGAGGGCATTGTACATGGAACAGACTTCTTTCAAAGCAGACTTTGTCATTTTTCATGAACACAAGGCACTTCTAAGTGCTGTGTGGGAAGGAATGTGGTAGACTGATTTCATTGAGACCCTGCCAAATTCTGGTATTGTGGCTATCAAAGACATCATTTCCTCCAAGCTTTTGAGAAAGGGGGCTATTACCATGGGCCTGTAAGGTTCTGGTTTGTATTCTGAGGAGACACTATCTTCTCAAGTGAGATGGGGAAGAGGAAGTGTTGTGAATTGTAAATAACACTGGGTGAAAAGAATTGTTTGGAGATGGAGATGAAAAAAATTGCCTTCTCAGAACCAGGTTTCATCCTCCTCCCTTGAGCCCTCCCCCCAACTTTGCTAGAGCTCATCCTGTTTTATTTGCAAAATTTACTAGCAAGAAGAGAGGTGTTTCTTTAAGGTGACTGTTGTCCTTCCACCCAACAAATAAATACCTCCTGGATTAAATATTAGTAAATATACAGTGGAACACAATGCCACTGTAAAAAGAACAAGATGGAGTCTTAAAAGTTGGTGTAGAATGAGCTTCAAGTTATATTTTAAAGTGATAAAGACCTACACCTCAACAAGACTTCCCTTTATAGAAGAGAACAGTGATATACCTATGCCCATTGTGCATATGTTTGTTGGGAAAAAAAGGAAGAAAAAAAATGCATGCCTCATCAAAGGAAGGGCTTCCTATTCTAACCTTTTACATATTAAAAACGATTTAAAACGTGTTATATTTCATAAAGTATTTCAGTAGTCAATTTGGCAATGCAGGAGTAAATGGCAGGAGAAAAGCAATTTCAATTAGTTGTGTATTTCAGGAGGCGAGGTTTGGATTAAAGGCAGAAATTTTAATTCTACCTGTTCATCTCCCCGAAGGGTATTCATTTAAGTTGTCATGAAAAAAACAAAAAAACAAAAAACCCCTGGGGAGTAAGGATATCATTCAATGAAGTTGGCAGGCATTTGATGTCACTCCTCTGGTGTGGGGCGAAATGAAGAGAAAAGAAGAAGGAACAAATATGGTCGAGAAGGGAATTCGAATTCTCCAGGAAGCTCCACAAGGAGTCCACCTTGTGGAGAGAGGAATGACGTTGCACAGAGCGTGCTGGGTGCTCAGGGGCTGATCCCGAGAGCTAGTCCTGCCTTTTGCTGCTCTGAGCAGCCCCCTGCAGCGGGCCTGCTTCCCATTGGCCTGAGGGTATCTTAGCTAGAAGCTCTGCTCGGATGAGCGGCTAGTCAAAGACCCAAACTGTCCCGCTCGGAGATCCTTGTCCGGTAACAGGGTGCATAAAAACCCTTTCACAAGGAAACCCCACTCAAGGAACAGTGGCCAACGAGCCAGCCCTGGCTTCGCCACAGCCCTGCATACCACGCGCTCCCTGGTGCCCCCACCCGGGTAGATTTTGGCGGAAGCCAGGTAGTGGGTCTCAAAATTAAAAGCCTTTGGGGGCTGGGCAGGTAACTTAACAGCTGAAACGGCTAGGTGTGAGAGGAAGTAGTAAGAACTGTGGAGAATCAGGAAAGTGGGTACTCGGAATAAAGGCATCCACATTCAGATTTTTAAAACTACGACTCTGAGGGTCCTGCAAAACCACTGACTGGAGCCACTGTCAAATTGGCCATCCTGCTTTGGTCTCGGCAAAGTAACCGCCTCAATCTCGTCGCTTCAATCCGCTCCAGATCACCAGCCTGTCCCCTTCCAGGCAAGCGCGGCGCCTGAGACTTTCCCAAACTTTGGCACACCTGAAAATGGAGTTCATTTGCTGCGTGTCCAGTGATGCTCCCCGATATCTGGGGGTGACAGTGGGAGACGGTCCCCGGTTGGATCTCGGAGTAACCCGCGGCGGGCTACATTGCCTTTCCCTCCGATACACAGTCATTGAGCCTGTAACTTTCTCCGTGCGGCGACTCCGGGCTGGGCGCAGTCAGCAGCAAGTATGGAAATACTGTGGCCACCAACCCCAGGCTCCGCACCCAAGCCAGGGGTGGGCCGGCGGCGAAGGGGAGGCCCCGCCCCGGCCCGCCCGCGTGGCCCCGCCCCTGCACTCTAGACTTTCGGCCCCCACTCGCAGCGTGCACAGTCCCGGGACCCCGGGAGAGCCGGCAGTGCACGGTGTTTGCCTGCGCGGGGCGTCACTTGCGCACCACCGAAAGCCCAGAGGTCGTCGCGCAGCCGGGATATACTTTCCTTTCCGTCACCCACAGACGTCCCTGCTGCTGTGTGCAGACCCGGGGCATCTTTGCCCTGCGGGACTCGGATTCCAGCGCTGAGGCGCTACCTCCGCGCGTCCGCGGGGCGGGCGCCGGGAGAAAGAAGCGGCGCGCGAGCTCGGGGCGCAGGTTGCGGGATGGAAAGCAAGGCACTGCTGCTCACCGCTTTGTGGCTCTGCGTGGAGATCCGGGCTGACTCTCTAGGTAAGGAGCCCACTCCTGAGAAGGAAGGTGCAGAATTAAGGTGCGGGCGGGGACGGGAGGGCTGATGTGACTGGGAAATACAGAGTTGAAAGTGACTTGACACTTTTTGTTCTGAAATTCTCTGGATTACCTAGCGAGTTCGTGTTCTCCCAAGCTCTAGTTCAGTTCCTTTTGTATAGCTCAGATCTTCAACTAGGGCTCAGCTGAAGCTCGTCCCGCAGAGTCCAAACGCCCTGGGGCTCTCCGGAGGCGGAGGTAGGAAGGGGCCCGCGGCGGGCAGGCAGGAGGTGCCCGCAGGCGGTAAAAGGAGGTGAAACCTTGTCTGACAGGGCCAACACCCTAGTCCCCGCGCAGGAAAGCAAGCCTTGCGGGGTGCGCTAGCTATTTCCCGGGACCTTATGGTGCAGGGTGGAGCCCAACGGGTGTGCTTTGCCTCTTGGCTGAACCTCACCTACATACCCACTGTATGAGGTGGGGTCCACGGGTAGGGGAACTTCTTTTTCTTTTCTGAGTGCAGGACGCTGCTCTCCTCCAAGAGAGGGCGGGAGGGGGGGAAATCGGGGCTTGGGCCCAGAGTAAGTGACAACTTCCCGTAGTGTCTCCAAGTAACCTCACCTTCTCTGTGAAATAATTTACTCTCTCAACGTGTTTTGATTTTGGGATAAGCTTATGGTCAAAAGTTCTTGCTTCCAAAAACTTACTGAGGTTCCTCTTCCCGTCACCTACAAACTCAACCTCCTTCAAGGTTAAGAACACACTCCTGATGCCTCTGTCTGCCTCACTTTGCTCATCTTCAGATTTCCAATCTCTGCAGGGTCATACAGTGCAAAGGGCAGAGAAAGTGAAAAAACCTAACCATTCTGGGAAAATTTCTCCTCTATAAAAAAAAGTGAATCACATGTCTTAAAAAGGGACCCGCACTCATATACAGTAACACGGTCATCTGTCTATAGTTATTGGATTTTCTTAATAATGGCTTGGTTCATCAGGACTAGCTCTACCCTGGACACTCACTTGTCCCTGACAAAACCCTTTATGGGGAGAGAATAGGAGGTCTGGAACATGTGGTTGTTTTGTATCCCACAAAGAAGTGAGTTGCAGTTAAGCCTGGGGTGTTCCACAGTGCAGCAGTAGTAACCATACTTGGGTTGCCCTCAATATAATGATGGGGTTGCCCTTTTGGAGTGTGCGACTTGCTTAATTGGATTGAGCTGTAATTGGTGCCATCAAATTCTAGAGACAGAGGCATCGTTGTTTTTCCTGCCTATCTTTGAGCTGAAAGGGTAACAGTGCACAAATTAATTAATATTGGTTATGGGATTTGAACATAGAAGGGCTTTTTATTGAGTAGGAGCACATGTACTTCTTATAGTTATTTCTTTACAACTTTCTAGAGAGTACAATTCAGACTTGCCAATGAAAGCGAATGAAGCTTACTGGAACAGAGAAAATAGAGGGCTAGTGTATAGGTATGAATTTGCAGTTAATATTGATGGCCCAGATGAATACATTAGTTTTGTTAAACATATCTTTAGTATGGCATCATCTTGGCTTCCTGTGAGTGGGGAACATAGCTTAAATGTTATTTACTTATTTTTTTAAAGATTTATTTATTTATACAAGAACTGGGGTACAAGCTAAGGGTGTGGGGGTTGAGAGGATCACCAGAGACAGAGTAGGGAGCAGAAGAAGCAGATCTACTAGAATATACTGCTGAAGGGAGCAGTGGGCAAACCAGGAGAGGTCTGCTGTGCCATGTGGGTCACCTCCCTGGCGGTGGGTGAATCTAACTTTGGTGCTGCAGTGGATAGCTTCATAGTGCTGTGCTTTAACCTGGTGTGCCACCAGGGAGGCCTTAATGGGAAAGTGTGTCTGGAGTGTGAGATAAACTATGCCGATAATTTATGAGAGATCTTTTAAAGTTTCTTCTTTTGATGATAGGGAAGACATAGCTTACTCAGAGGCTAGTCTTAACTACATTTAAAAAAAATTACATGTGCCCAAATAATGGGTTTTTGCTTGGATCATTGTACCTGTTATATTAGGTCATTGGTTTGAACATGTTTCTTAGTTCAGTTTGATAGCTGTGCTCATCCAAATGAATTGTTTTCATTTCCCTGTTCTTAGACAAATCTCAATTATTGGAAATATTTTCATTGCTTTTAGACACTTTGCTTTATATTCCTACCATGAGGGCAGTTCTTTCTGTTGAAAACTACTGTGATAATTGACTGGACCTGACAACCAATAACAGTCTAAGAGTGGCCCCTAGATCATGTATGATGGGCACCTTCAATGCTCGTAAAAGTGTGGCTATATAAGCCTTCAAATATGTGGAGACATGCAGTACCTTACTAATTAGTTTCTGAGGTCTATTTGATATAAATTAATTTCTAAGTTTTTTCTTTTTCTTTGATGAGCAGATCATCAGTTATTTGGGTAACCTATTTTGTACATCCAGGCGAGTGTGTGAGAACATGCAAGATCAGTTGTTCATTTTGAACTGTTCACATTACACACTGAATTCACAAATTCAATGCATCGGGCATTTGCTCATGCTCTCTTATTTGCCCAGCAAGCTAAATGCCAGAGTCATTTGTTCTTAGCTGATGAGAGTTGGAAACCACATTGAAATTGGGCGCTTACATAACATCAGTCACTTTCAAAGTTGGTGTTTTAGAACTCTTCTCTAGTCACAGTCCTCACATGGTGGACATGCTTTTTCAGCACCTGGTAGCTTTGCACATTTAGTTGACAGAGAACTCAGGTTTCTTTCTGTGGAAAGAGTTGCATGCGATAAGAAATCTCTCCTGTGGTATTTTTGATAGAAAAATTTCATGTGTTCCAAGTGGTAGCATGCTGACCTTATTGCGTCAGTGAACAGTTGAGATTCCCTGTAATTCATGAACCTTGCTTTCTTAAATGTCCTTTTCTGAGAAGTATATTGATGTGCATAGTCTATGACATTGGACAATATTTTCCTCATTTTCTCTCCTCTAGTTTTCACGCTGTCTTTCAATCTTGGCTGTCCAATTTCCAGAGGAAGTGCCCTAGAACTTGATAAAGGAAAATTAGACAAGGTTCTGGATGCTCCTGTCCCCTTCAGGATACATAGATGAGCTACATAGAATCTCACTAAGTAGTATTCATTAATCAGCAATTTATTGAAAAGTGTGCATCCTATGTTTTATAAGAAATGTCAGTGGGTCCTTTCCCAAGGGAGTGAGATCATCAGATGAGGGTTCACTTGGTTTCAATGTTCCATATCCTTTTGTAAGACCTTGAAGTTGGCAATGCAGGAAAACAGGAACTCCACCCTCGCTCCACAAACTGCAGAACTGTTGTGCCGGTTTATGACCATCTGCCCATTCTTCCTGTTATTACACAGCTTGTGAACTTTTACTGGGAATGGTGAAAAGTCAATTCACTGTTTTACACCATAAATTGCTGAAGTGGCCTTTTAAAATATAGAGTGTGCACTGTTAGTGGGAAGTGTTTCCTATTGGGCTTATCTCAGTCACAGTGACATTCATTTCTTTAATTTGTTTCTAGGTTTGCCCAGTGTTTCTCTCGATCCACCCAGGCTCAGCATACAAAAAGACATACTTACAATTATGGCTAATACAACTCTTCAGATTACTTGCAGGTAAAGATTCATTTTAGATTCAGATTTCTTGTGCTAAGTAACTCATTGTTTATGGAGGGAAAGTTTAGATTTACGAACATCAGAATTAGAGTAGAGTTGCAATCATTGTTTATACATAGTGAGGTTTCTAAGAAATGATGTAACCATGAAAAAGTGAGAAAGCTCTTCTCTCCCAAGATTCTGTTCGATTGTGCTGGCACTATTTTCTCCTTCCCTCTGTCAACATCCCTCCTCCACCCCCAATAATCAGTATAACATCTGGTACATAGTTATGGTGGATACTCAGTAAGTGTGTAAGTGTTAAATGAATAAATGAAATTGAGGATGTACCCAAAGTTTTGGACCCTATTTCTCCTTGAGCCTGGCACCTTAGACCACTCGGCCATCCTGACACACTGGACCATATTTCTATATTGAACATCGGTTTGGCCCTTTTTAAGAACTTCATTTCATGATAAAATACTGGCTTTTGTAGCTTTAATACTCAGCCATTAAAACTCAGCGAGGAGCATACTCTGTGCAGGTAATGGATTTCATGCTCTGAATTGGTGTTCTGGGAGGTTCTTCTTCACATTTGCTATCAAGAAATCATGCTATTGATTTTTGTCAACTGGGGAAACAGTCCTCTTTGACAAAAAAAGGCCTTTTAATTTTTGCTTGTCAACCCTTCCCCAGGAGGAAAAGTAGAAGACCTTGGCGTTTAATATAGTGATTTGCATGGTAGACCTGGATGGCCTCAGGACAGTGTGCCCACGGTGGAGACCATGGGCAGAGACTGGCAAAAGCTATGTTGCCTCTGAGAAGAGAGCTGAGGGCATACAGATAACCGTGGACAGCTTCTGCTGGCCCTTCATGATGGGTGAATGCCAAGTGTTAAGCACAGAGACAGATCCATTTCAGGCTGTAGTTTGTTTGTAAGGTTTACACCGAGTCCCTTTATCAGGTATAGGTCACCAACATGGAACCCTTGGGAAATAGCATGAGCAGGCGCTGTGTCTGGTATTGCTATTTCCAGACACATTTCACACCCACCCTCAACAATGAAGGTTATTTAAACTCTCCAAACATACCATACTTCCTTTTTAAATGCTGCATAAACATTTCATATGTCCTGGAAAAGTCATAGACTGCGTTAAAAGTAACTTCATGAATGTTGTTAGAATTTTGTGGAAATTGCCAATTCTTTGAAAGAAGGGGCAGAGATGTTGCGTCTTTTGAGGTGAGCCACCTGCTTGGGGCAGTGTAGAGAAATATTTCAGTAAATGTAATCTCTCTATATATACATATATTTTAAAGATTTATTTATTTATTCATACGGAACTGGTATACCAGCCAGAGGTGCAGGGGTGGTGAGAGGCTTCACCAGAGACTGAGTGGGGAGCAGAACAGGCAGACTGAGGAAGTACACTAAGCAGTGGATGGCTCAGGAGAGGTCTGCTGTGCCGTGTGGGTCACCTCTGGGGCCGGGAATCGAACACGCACTGAGGCGGCTGCCGCCAGCGTGCTGCCTCCCAAGCCATTGCGCCACCAGGGATGGCCCATAATCTATGTAATAACTAGGTCTGTACAAGGTCCTGGGGGGCTCTTAGGCAGTAGTACTCCCTTCCTTCCTCACCTCACTTCTGTCCCCCTCCTGGCCCTTCACTCCAACTCCCATACCACTTCCTCCATGCTCCATATCTCCTGCCATCCAGGACCTTCCCACTTGCTGTTCCTCTGCCTAGAACACTATCCCTCCTGACAGACCTGTAGCCCACTTCATCCAACCTCTTCCACTTAGATTTCCCTCCCTTTTTGTTTTAATATTGTATTATTCCCTCATTGTAATTCTCATTACCTCTAGTACATTTTATTTAATTAAAAAAATCGCTTTTATTGAGGCTCACTTACTATATTATTGCTTGTGTCCACCAAGACTAAAGTTGCACAAAGGCATTGGTTTTTGTCTGATTTGTTCACTGCTCTGTCCCCCATGTTGGACACAGAGCTTACTTAAATATCTGTTGAGGGAATGAGAAAGTGGATTAATAGAAGGCTGAGAACACCCTGTAAGTGATCCTGAGGTGGAGTCTGTAGCTTTTTGTCTCTTGTTGATTCAACCCATTATTGTTGGTGGAAGGCTTTGAATCTGGGTGTCGAGGAATTTTCTAAGTCTGCGAACCAAATCTTTGTTTTCCTTGGAAACACCCACATAGTGTGGTGTTTCACATTAACACTTTGTGGGAATTGGTTTTCCAGTGGGCAGAGGGAGTTGGACTGGCTCTGGCCCAACAACCAGAGCGGTTCTGAGAAAAGGGTGGCAGTGACCGAGTGCAGTGACCACATCTTCTGTAAGACGCTTACAATTCCAAAAGTGATCGGAAATGATACTGGAGCCTACAAGTGCTTCTACCGGGACAGCGACAAGGCCTCAGTCATTTATGTCTACGTTCAAGGTAAGTGGTTAAATAGAATTCATTTCCCATGTTGATTTACCAGTTCCAAAACACAATAGGCACAGAGAAGAATCGAGTACAACAATGGCTCGCTCTAAGGCTAGGCTGTTTGCCAACAGGAATATACAAAATTCTTTTCTCCCAAGGCTTCCTGTCACAATCGGACTCATTGATTTGTTCTGGGGCTTGGATCTCATGATATTTCTTTTGCCCAATGACTTTGGTTCTGATCTTTGTTTCTAAGGGAAATCTCAGTTGGTCATGGAGACTTGTAAAGTCTTCTGATGTTTGAGAAAAAACTCTGAAATCTTGAAAAAAGATTCAGGGGGTGAATTATGGAAAGGTTTCTGTGGAGAGATAGGTTATCTACCGCCAGGCAGGAGATTTCCCCAAGAATGCACAGGGAATCAGCCCAGAGGCCTGGAGCTTCTTTGTTCACTGGAACTTCTCTTTTCTGTTTAATAGTTTATAAAAGACAGTTCACATGTTACCGTGCAAATAAAGACACTGCTTCAAAGGGCCTTTTGAGGACAATGTTTCTTTCCTTTGCTTGTGTGACCTGGGCTCATATCCCACCTGTTCCTAGAATTTGCAATTTGGGACTGACACCATGAAGGCTAACATAACATCCATGCAGTGTAAACACAATGTTACATGTATTTAGTATTTATATTATTAATTATTCTTTGAGTGTTTCAAAAATCTTCTACTACCTTGATTTTCCCACAGACAACCTAACCTCAGTAATGAGATACCTATAATATAATTTAGGGAATATGTGTTATGAATACTTTGTTGAGATATACTGTATATTTTTCCTTTCAGTAAAGACAAATTGTTGAGACATTTCTTACAAGTTTCTTTACCTCTTTACATCCCAGAAGGTTTGAGACGGCTGAAGATTGCTAAGACTTCCTTACCAGAAACATCTTTTACAGGACAGGGATTTCATCAGCTTTGGAATATACACTTGGGTATCTCCGTCCATTTACATTTCAGTAGTGCATATTACATTTCAACAGTGGAAAACCCATCAAAATAGAGCATGTTACATCTGGATTGTACACTATCTGAGAATTAATTTTTACCTCGGGCGAGTACAATCCAAGGTAGTATTCTGTGCTCTCCTTTTCCCCTCTACAGACTTTCAAAGAGACAATACTCAGATCTTTGAGAACTTCTGACGTCTTTTGATCTGGCAGTCTTGGGAGATCAGGCTTTCTCAGAGGATTGCAAGGATTTCCTGCTTTCAGACTGTCTGGAAATATTACAAGATGAACCTCTCCCTTAATATCTCATTATTATTTCCCTCTCCCAAAGTCAGGAAACTTTGAGACATGTGAAAATTCATTTCAGGAGTTACAGTAAATTTTTTATTTTGAGAGGATGGGAGGTTGTTTTGGTTTCTTTTGTTTATTTCCTTGTTTTCTTTCTTTAAGATACTGAAATAGAATTGATTTACTGAATAGCTTTAGTCTTGCATCAAGGGTTAATTTAACTTTTCAAGGTTTGTTCTGTAAGCAAGCCAAATACTATACCATAACATGTGGATGAAAGGTAGGTGATATGAAGAAGTAGCAATTTCTAGCACTATTTATTTGCACAATACCTGTCTTTGGGTATAACACCAAAATCTATTTCTTGTCTAAGCTTAAGTTTGTAGGAGTTGCACTGTTCAAGACCTTGTCATAACATTCAAAATGGGAAAGAAAACACTGAAGTGTTCCCTGTAGACAGCCCTTAAATGTTCCCTGTGGGCACTATCTTAGTTCCCAAGTTCTCTTAACCTGTTCCCTCCAACAAAGAGTGGACCCATGCAGTGGGTTCTGGCCACATAAAATAATGGCTCTGGTTATGGATATGGAGTGTAGAGGCTTGGATTGGCTGCTTTTTGGTGCTTTTCTAGCTGGGAAAGAGAATCAGACTTCTGCTGTTGCAAGGAAATCAGTTATCTTTTTCGCCTTGGCTTAATTAACTCTTCACATTGACCAATCATCTTGAAAAGCTCTGAAAATGTCTGATCAGGTGTGCTGGAATAGCAGCATGAGCTGTGATTATGTCTCTGAGAGCCCAAGCTTGACCTGACACCATATCATCTCTATTTCTGGGCCATAGAGTAGTTTCCCAGGAGCAGATTAACAGTGCATGAACAGCACTTGAATGACATTAAATCTGTTTTGTTTTCTTCTCATTCATTGGGATAGTGACTTTGCAAATTTTTGTCATGGAAGATATTCATAACTACTGAATCTTAGTATACTGTAATAACTACTAAAACATATTTCATAAAGAACATAGTGTATAATCTTCACAGTCTTTGCATGTCCACATAAAACTTTTCTTGTATAATTGAGCTAAAAATTGTTCATTATTTCCTGTTTATTTTAAAGATTCTTTGGGGCCCATTAATTTGTTTTTATAGCATTTACATTTATCTAACAGAGAGAAAACATGAAATTTTTAAAACATCAATAAAACATCCACAATACAGATTTAACTTTACATTTACATTAAAATTGATATATATAAAGCATATATGAAAGTGTATGTGAAAATAAAGAATTATGCTACTTCATTTTTAAAAAGTTGGAATTATATGCTCAATGCTCATCTATCTAAATTACTTAATATATTTATAGGTTAATATTTATTAATATATATTAGTGTATATTCAATAATATCTTACTATACAATAATTAATATAAATTAATATATATTAATTCTTCAATATAAAAATATATCCTACTGACTGATGATCCTTGTGTATGAATAAATCACACTTTGGGAGTTTCCTTTCAATTTCTCTCTCTCTCTGTCTCTGTCTCTGTCTCTCTCTCTCTCACACACACACACACACACACACACCTGTCCTGTAGCATGTATGGAGAATTATTTTTCTACCAGCAAACTGAACCTATGAATAACTTTTCTCAGAATGTTATTCCCAGTCATTCGACTGGTTAGAACCTGAGAGATGACCAACTTTCCTAGTAAATGTCACTAGCTAATGGAATTAAATTTTTTTCTAGACTATAGGTCTCCATTTATTGCTTCTGTTAGTGACCAACATGGCGTTGTGTACATCACTGAGAACAAAAACAAAACTGTGGTGATTCCATGTCTTGGGTCCACTTCAAACCTCAATGTGTCACTTTGCGCAGTAAGTTACAATTTCTTCAATCATCTTTTACATGTTCATCATTTTATTTTAATATAAGATGGTCAGCCTGTTTGCATATTATCAGCAGTGAATTGTAAAGCTCCTTCAGAAAGGGTCAAAATGACAATAAATAAAACTGCTTTGCATTCTTAAAATTAAAGATAAATTCTTTAATGATATTCTAACATGGTTTCATGTTTGGATTGCATTTGATTAAATATTTTCTTTTTCTTTTTTTTTTTTTTTTACTACCCAGAGGTATCCAGAAAAGAGGTTTTTTCCCGATGGTAACAGAATTTCCTGGGACAGCAAGAAAGGTTTTACTATCCCCAGCTACATGATCAGCTATGCTGGCATGGTCTTCTGTGAAGCAAAGATTAACGATGAAAGTTACCAGTCTATTATGTACATAGTTGTGGTTGTAGGTAAGAGGACAGTTTCTTTTCATATCTCTTATATCAGACAATAAATATTGGATTCCTATATGAAGATCTTGGAGATTAAATTATAGAATAAGGGACAGAGAATTTGAAAAATATATTAACTCAAGATACAGTGTTGGGCAATCCATTACTCTGTTCTATGCCGTATAACCTCTGTGCCATCAAGTTTTTCTTCTTTTCTGCCAATACAGGATGGAAAAGAATGCTATTACAGAAGTATGCTTAATGGAAAATTCAATGTTCAGAGCATTGCTTGGCATCCACTCTTTTAATTATAACTCATTTCATGCAAGTCCAGCAACTAAAGCTGGCTGCATGACTGTTGACTGCATGGCTACATTTTGAGATCCTTGCAGGTCTTTTTGTAAATCTCTACAGGCCTTTTATTTAAAAAAATTTCATTTTTATTTATGCACAAAGAACTGGGGAGTAGACCAGAGGGGCGGGAGGTGAGATGATTCACTGGAGACAGAGTGGGGAGCAGAGTCAGGAGGATCTACTGAAATACACTGCTGAGGGGAGCAGTGGGCAGTTCAGGAGACCCAGGAGAGGTCTGCAGCATCATGTGGGCCAGGCTGCTGACAACATGATAGGGCTGAGACTTTAACCCCTGCACTACCAAGGAGGCTCCTCTACAGGCCATATATTTTGGGGGGAGTGAGTTACTAAATGTTGATTAGGCCCATAGAAAAAAGTGATGTGTCACATATTAAAGATGCATTATTTTCAGAAAAAAATCTGCGCTGAGCTATGTAGAATTGTCTTTCCTCTCACATTCTGTTTTTTTTTTTTTTTCAATTTACTTGCTCCAGGATATAAAATTTATGATTTGGTTCTGAGTCCCCCTCATGGAGTTGAACTGTCTGTTGGAGAGAAACTCATCTTAAATTGCACAGCAAGGACTGAGCTGAATGTGGGGATTGACTTCCACTGGGAATACCCTTCTTTAAAGGTAACAATTTAAAGCCAGACCTCTACATATTTTGACAATAAAACCCAGTGGAGTTTGCTTGAGAGAGATAGTGGCCTTTCTGGCCAGATGATCCAGATGATCTGCAAGGGTCTTAACACACACATGCACGCGCACGCACACACACACACTTTGAAAGAATTTCAGATCACACAACATCCATAGAGAAAAAGATGCAACACCAAGATGTGTGTCCCACTCTGCTACAATCAGATTGCCAAATTACTTTTCTCTAAGTGATTGCATCTCCAGGTTGTATTATTTCTCTGTTCTCTAAAGCCCTTGATTGGCATTCCTTCTAAGAGAACTTCTCTTCAGGAGGTGGCCTGAGACACTATGGGCTTATTTACTTCTGTTTTGCAATTCATTGCTATCTCTTTATTCTCAGAGACTTTAAAAATCCTAATTTGGAAAAAAAAATCCTAATTTGGTTGCATTCACTTATTTCTTCTGAAACTTAATCTATTTGCTGCCCACATAGGTTAAATATTCTGACATTGTTATTAGCATTAAATAGTTCTCCAGTGAGCAAGACTTGCTTTGGTGGGTTTCTAGAAATTCCCGTTATGTTATGCAGGACTTTGGAAGTTTTGTAAACTCTTTTTTTCAGCATCAGCACAAGAAGTTTATAAACCGAGACCTAAAAATTCAGCCTGGAAATGACATGAAGACATTCTTGAGCTCCCTCACTATAGATGGTGTTACCCGCAGTGACCAAGGCTGGTACACTTGTGTGGCCTACAGTGGGCTGATGACCAAGAGGAACACCACCTTTGTCAGGGTCCATGGTAAGCTAAGGTCACTTCTGCACTTCCACGGTGCCTTGCAACGTGAGATCACTTAAATAAATGTAAGTCAGTTAGCGATCCCTACTTTGTCATCCAGAATACATCCTTGAGCTCTTGCTGGGCAAGACACATGAGCTAGAAGTCAAAGCATAGCTCTGGAGGCAGAGACTCACATCCCAATATTAACAATGAAATGAGCTAATATAATAATTCACTAATTATAACTTAAGATTGTTGGTGCTATTAGTATTTCAAAAACAGCATTATACTCTAAGATTTAAAATATTTTATTTTGTTGCAAGACGGAGAGGCTTTCTTGAATAAGTATAAACTTCACAACTGGGGGAAATTGGATTTGATCACTTCCTGAAAATTGGGTGGCTTAGAGCAAATCATTTTTCATTTATCCTTTTTCACTCAAATGAATGTTTCACTTTAGACATTTATGTTCTACTTACATGCCTTGGTAGGATTTTGGATGGTATAATGAGAATTCATGCAAGGATTTTGAGCAGAGAGAAACTAACTCTGGCTTAAAAAAAATAAGATTACTATGCTGGTTATGTGGAATACTTCATGTTATTAAATATAACTTGTAATTGTTGGTGCTATTACTATTACTTTAGGGTATTCCACAGTAAGGGCAGGAGTAGGGAGATAAGTTAAAAGATTGTTTACTGGGATCTGGGAGGAAGATGCTTGATGGCTTGGACAAGAGGCAGTAATAGTGGTAAGATGCTGGATGCGTATTTGAATATAGAACCAATGGAATCTTCTGAGTGGTTCAGTGGCTATGGGATACATCTGAAAAAGAATGAAAGATGACTTTTAAGTTTTTAGCATGAGCAAGCAAATGAGTTTAGGTGGTATTATTTACTGAGCTAGTGAAGATTGAGAAGGTAAGATTTGGGAAACCAGTATTGGTATGATCATTTCAAGATACCCTTAAACATCTAAGTGGTGATATTTCATATATAAATGTAGGACTCAGAGAAGTGATGGTGGGAAGTACAAACTTAGAAGTGACATTGATGATACTTTAAGCTTGAGACTAGAGGAGGGTGAGAGGAGATCAGAGGATTGCATCCTGGGACTCAGCAATTGGATAGGGTGCTGGTGCCAGAGGAGGAGAGCCCAAGCGTTCCTAAGGAACTTAGAGAGAGCTTTACAGAGGAACAGATGCTTAAACTGAGAGTTGAGCAGAAGGAAGGCTTGCAGATTACACTAGGGAGAGGGATAAGCACGTACAAAACCTAGAAATGTCACAGAAGGTGAAATGTGACCAATAGAAAGGGAATATGGGGAGCTCTGGGCTATAGCAACACAAACCCCAAAGTCTTTGTCTCTTCACTTGACATGAAAAATTAAACCAAATGACCATTAAGTTGACATTTAGAAGAATACTTGTTTCTGTGTTTTCTTTTCTTTCAGAAAAACCCTTTGTTGCTTTTGATAGTGGTATGGAATCTTTGGTGGAGGCCACAGTGGGAGACCGAGTCAGAATTCCTGTGAAATACCTTGGTTACCCTCCTCCTGAGATAAAATGGTAATTTTTGCACTAAATGTAGAGCAACTGTTTCACCGGTAAGTAGATCCTTACATTGTACTAATTATGGGGCTTTTCCCCCATAGGTATAAAAACGGAAGACCCATTGAGTCCAATCACACGATTCGAGTGGGGCACGTTCTGACTATCATGGAAGTGAGTGAGAAAGACACAGGCAATTACACAGTTGTCCTCATGAACCCCATTTCAAAGGAGAAACAGAGCCACGAGGTATCTTTGATTGTGACTGGTGAGTTCACATAGTTTTCTTTTTCTGGCCAAGATTTATTTGAAAGAGTTTCTTTATATTTTCCTAAACAGCCATCATTCATGGAATGGGAGTCTATGTATAAAAGATCCAGATCAGTGGAGTTGAAATGAGGCATCAAATAGTGTGCTCTGAATGTGTTTGCAATAGGGGCCATGTACATAGACTGTTTGGTGGTCAAACACAAGTTTAAAGTAGATGATACTCTTGAGGGCTAAATGTGGTGAAGTGAGAACGCCTGCAAGGACAGCTGTCACGCATGAGTGACAGTCTTTGCTCCTGTCTCGGGGCACTGCACACTTGACGTGCACATATATGACTCTTATTTGAATTTTGTGGGAAGCTTCTAGTATAATTTGGTAGTTGATGTATCAGTGATGCCTAGGCAGATTTCAATTCAGAAGGCTTTCACTGGTTGACACTGTAGACTTGATTGAAGATCATTTTTTTTTAAAAAAGATTTATTTATGCATACAGAACTGGGATACAGGCCAGAGGTGCAGGGGCAGTGAGAGGATTCACCAGAGACGGAGTGGGGAGCAGAACAGGCAGAACTGATAAAGTACACTGCTGAGAGGAGCAGCGGCCGGGTCAGGAGAGGGCTGCTGTGCCATGTGGGTCACCTCTGGGGCAGGAATACAAACTCATGCGGAAGTGGCTTTAGCTTCTTAGTGCTGTGCTTTAACCTGCTGCGCCATCAGGGAGGGTCCAGATCATTTATTTTTTTAAACTGGAGTTTAGGATCTGACTCTTGATGGTCACGAGAAGATAATAAATATTTGATTTAAGCATGGTTTGAACTTGTTTTCCCACATTGAAAAATATAAATAAGAGTGCCATGATCCAGTAAGTATGGGAAGTACTATTCTGATAAAACAAGTGTGTTTATTGGAGGGGCTTTAGGGACCTTTAAGATGCTGGTGTGATGCTGTCTGTTGGCCATTCTTCAGGGAGAGAGGGTTTAGTATTTTACAAATTTACTTGATCAGAATATTCCCACTCTTCCTCATCCCAGAAAATCCATGAATATAATTTCGCAAATATAGTTTGGAAACTGCTTCCTTCTTGTCATTCTTGGTTGTCCTTTCTGGTGTGACATGTTATAAAACTTCAGGACTGTCTCTTGTGACAGGAAGGTGCTTTCCTTGTGTCCTGTTACTACTGTGTATGTCTGCTGAGTTTGGCTTCATTTCTTTGCTGGGACATCAAGTTCAGGGATAACAGGTCACTGAGAAATCACTTAGGAGTAGGGTATGGAGAAGGAGAGAAGCTAGAAAGCTACTAATTAGGATGGGGAGATGGATATGAATAAGTAAAGCTGTAGAAAGGATTGTGGCTGGGCCAACTCAACTCACCGACCTTTGAAGTCATGAAGTACTTGTTTCCCCATCTTTTACTCTGTTGTGAAGTAAAGCTGAAGGTGAAGCCATGTTTGAAAGTATAATCTGAAACTTGGGTTTCACATTGACTTTGAAGACAAAAAAAGAAGAAAGATGACAAGAAGAAGGACTCAAGGAGGGGAGGAAGAGAAAGGAGAGTTGGCAGTTGCCCCTGGGCCATGACTTAACTTCTTCTATTGTTTTATTTCTCCCCTGTGTAACATGGAGAACAGGAATATGGGTTGTGAGGATTGAAGGGGTCCGTGGGTGTTAAGCACTTAAAATAATGCTCAGCACGGGGTAAATGAAATTATGATGTTATTTATAAGGACTTGCTCTCTTCCTTGCCTTTATCTTCTGAGTTTGGGAGAACAGGGAGAATTTTTCCTGTAACGTAGATCAGAAAACTGAGGCATGTGATGATGAGAATTGCAGTGTCCCCACACTTATTATTTGTTAGTATTAGCTCATCACCATTACTATGAATATCACTACAATGCTGATCTATCTCCAAAGCCAAACATCCTTCGAAAAAGCAAATGGGAGCAAAATCATGTGCTGGGAAAAGACAGGTTTTAGTTGTTAAAAACGTTTCACTTTTGCAGTCCTCAAATCTAATGGACAATTCAAAAGTCATTTTGTTCTCTCTCTAGTCCCACCTCAGATTGGTGAGAAATCTCTGATCTCTCCCGTGGACTCTTACCAGTATGGCACCACGCAAACGCTGACATGCACGGTCTATGCTGTTCCTCCCCCTCATCACATCCACTGGTATTGGCAGCTGGAGGAAGAGTGCACTTATGAGCCCACGTAAGCAGCGTCCCACCTACTCCCGCTGGCTCCCGCTGGCTCCCGCTGGCATCTTGCCTTCTCGTAGTCAAGCGATGATGAATATTGTAAGGCAACAGGCTCTCTCTAAGAAAGTTCACTCTGTAGAGGAACTCACCATCTCCTCCCGCTGTCTGAGTCTCAGGTTTTAGGGGCTAGCTCTCCTTGAGATCTCTTGCTTTGAGATCAGCCAACCCTCTCTCCAGGTTAACCCGCAGGTAGAATACTCTAAAAGCAGGCCTTTGGCTCAGTTTGCTAATTGCCAATCTTTGGTTTTTCTGCTTGTACTCATCAGCTGGTGAATACTACTTATCTGTGGGGAGTTTCATCTGAGAGGAAATGCTGATGGGTGCAAGGAGGAGATAGACCAAGCTGTCCCTTTTGGAGTCTCAGGCCCAGCTTATCAGGTTCTAACACAAGTCCAGACATCCTTAGGAAAAACAACAACAACAACCCACCCACCTCCAGTCTAAGCAGTGCACTTCCTGTTGTTGTTTTTGAAATGGTCACTACTAGTTTCTTCCTCAGATGCTGACCATTTCCTATACAAAGGCCACAGTCCCAGGGAGATTACTTTACAAATCCACTGGCTTCTTAGTTTCCTTGCCTTCCTTTGAACTAAATTAACTTGAATTGTCTTGTCGATCCAATTTATGAATGGAGATTTGTTCCCAAAATAGCTGCTTCCCTCCTGTATCCTGAGTGAATCTACCTAGAACTTTTTCCTTTATCAGCGAGGCCTATTTTTAATTGGCGCCGAGTCTTGTAACATGACAGGTCGAGTTGAACATTATTTCTAAGAACATGATCATCAAAGTCTTATTCCTTCCTGACTGTTGACTGGAATTAAAGAAAAATTTAATCATAATGTGATCTGTTATCTCTTCCTTATAGCCCAGCTGTTTTAATGACAAACCCATATACTTGCAAAGAATGGAGAAGTGTGGAGGACTTTCAGGGGGGAAACAAAATTGAAGTCAACAAAAATCAGTTTGCCTTACTTGAAGGAAAAAACAAGGTGAGTTTGAAATTCTTAAATCTGAAAATCTCTTTCTTGCTAGGAGGATACGTGGTTCAATACTATATGAATCACTGAAATTAATAATCAAATTAATTAGAAGAACAAATAATAGTGCAATAAGTTGGTTTGAAAACACTTCTGACTTTTAAAAATAACGTTGACTTAGTGAGAACTTATCAGAGAAAATGAAATACACATACCACTAAATTTACACATCTGTTGTCAAATGACTTGATTTTATAAATATGAAAGTAAGAAGATGCGTATACTGTCATGTTAAAAAACATTATTTATGGCCCTCCCTGGTGGCACAGCGGGTTAAAGCACAGCACTGAGAATCTAAAGCCGCTTCCTCATGAGTTCGATTCCCGCCTGCCCCGGAGGTGACCACATGGCGCGGCAGACCTCTCCTGACCCGCCCACTGCTCCCCTCAGCAGTGTACTTCGTTGATCTGCCTGTTCTGTTCCCCACTCTGTCTCTGGTGAATTCTCTCACCCTCCACATCTCTGGCCTGTATCCCAGTTCTGTATGCACAAATAAAATAAAACCTAAAAAAAAAAAAAAAACAAAACATTATTTATTGCATGGTTTCTAGAGCCCACACTGTCTAATGTGTGAAAGAAACCAGCATAAATATGCTTGCCGGCATTTGAGTGTGAACAGTGCAGTGGCATGTATATAGTAGGCGGGATGTATTGGTTGTGGACATTGCTGGACTTTAATCTGAACACACAAGCATAAATTCAGCCTCTGTTGTTCATGTTAGTTGTTTCTTTCTTTGCAGACTGTAAGCACCCTTGTTATCCAATCAGCAAATGTGTCTGCATTGTACAAATGTGAAGCGGTCAACAAAGCAGGAAGTGGAGAGAGGGTTATCTCTTTCCATGTGACCAGTAAGTACTGCTCTCCAGGGTGGCCCGAGGGAGGGCTGGGTCTCTTGCCAAAAGGGTGTTAAGCTGTCTGATGCTCTGTGAGGTGGGAGGTGTTGATAATTGGCCCTTTTGTTCACAGATTAAACTCCCTAGCAGCTCTTGCTTCACATGAAGTTAGTACACTGAATTCACTGCAAAGAGATTGGTTTCATGCATCCTTTTTAGCCACAATTCCTGTATCATATATGTGTCACTGTCATTCAAGTCTAGCACAGTGCCTGGCTTGAAGGGGTTTCCCCAGTAGTGACAGGCATGCTGGGCTGTGTTTTCTGGGGCATTTGTAATGACAGGAGGGTGCCCTCCCTGTACTGTTGATTTTGTTTCAGCCCAGTTTTATGGCAAAACCTTAACTGAGGACTGAATAAAAGATTTCAGTGTGGGTAAATGCATTGTTATAATACAGTATTAGTGTCATTGTGTGTTATGAGCAACTAATTAAAAAAGTCCTATGTCCTATAATAATTCACTATGCTTTTGAATTCTAGAAAATCTTAAAAAGTAGGTTTAGAGTTCAAAGTAGAAAAATAGCCATTACATTTCTAAATAACATACTTTGGAAACAGGACATACCTACATTATCTGGATTGATATCTGGGGTTGTGAAAGCTTCAGTTGTCCAGGTGCTTTTTGAAATCTGAAGGCAATAAGAAGATAATTAGTGTGCATCATCTCACCAAGAGTTTTACATTGCAGGGGGTCCCGAAATCACTTTGCAACCTGGCACCCCACCAACTGAGCAGGAGAGTGTGTCTCTGTGGTGCAGTGCAGACAGGGCTACGTTTGAGAACCTCCTGTGGTACAAGCTTGGTCCACAAGCTCTGCCGATCCATGAGGGAGAATTGCCCACGCCTGTTTGCAAGAACTTGGATGCTCTTTGGAAAATGGATGCCACCATGATCTCCAATAACACAAATGATGTTTTGATCATGGAGCTCCAGAACGTATCCTTGCAGGACCAAGGAAACTATGTCTGCTTTGCTCAGGACAGGAAGACCAAGAAAAGGCACTGCGTCGTCAGGCGGCTCACGGTTCTAGGTAGGGAGCAACTCTGGGTCATCCAGACACAGATGGGCAGGTGCCCTGTGGTGACTACAGTCCTCTAAGGGCTTATGAGTAGCTGGTAAATACTTATTCTCTGATAGCCCTTGAGGCAGAAAGAAGCGACTGATGCCGGAGTGAGGTATTAAAAAGAGAAAATAACACAGCTCTCTCCAACCTCAGTGAGGGGACAGTTCACTACTGCCTGAAGTTGATCAGCCTGAACCAGGGAACTTGCTGCCTTATTCTTGGACATTCATTTACTGTAGAACACACCTACTTGTAGCATGCGTCTTTGGAGGTAGGAGGATGCTAGAAGTTCACAGAACAGATATCCACCAGGCAATGGCAGCACAGTGAGTCCCTGTGTCCATCAAGACAGAAATTGTTTTCTGTCTTAGTTCTTGCTGAGCTGTAGTTTAGGACATGATGGCACATAATAGGGGCTCAATAAGTCATCTGTGGATTGAAGAGATGATGATGGGGCCCCTTAAGGCCATGAATGCTGATGAAAGCTTGCAGTCAATGCTTATATCTCTGGGTCATCCCATGTGGTCCAGCGTAGCGTATGGTCAGAGAGGTGACCACTTTCGACAGCAGCTAACCTTGTGACTCCCCTATGGAGCCACTCTCTTCACTTTGTCGCATCTTGTGTCTGCTACAAAAGCTACAAGGTCACAGCTCTGTCTCTGAGGAAATCAGGCAAATTTGGGGCATTTCTTCTTGTTTATCTCTCTCTATTTTCTCTTGTTCTAGTGCTTCTTCCTAGGTTTTAGAATATATGTGCTTTCTGATTTTTACTGTTAGGAAAGGAAATTGCCCAGAAAAACTCACTGATAGCAAAGTTTTAGAGGAGTGGTGTCTTCTTTAAAGACCTTGGTGTATTTCAAGAGGCATCTTCAGACAGACACAAGGAGAGAGTTTGCTAGTGTGACTCAGGTGGGAAAAGGAAAGTTGTTTTTTGAGTGAGGCATCATCCCCAGGGCTCTTCAAATTGTACCACATATATGAACCTGTTTTACTGTTCACTTGATGTATCGGCTGGTTTCAAGCTGACAGAAGAATTCAGAAAGAGATTTGGAGGATGCCGCCTAGCCCAGGAAATGTGTCACACTGAGTGGCTTTGCTTCCCTCAGAGTCCTAAGTTGCTCACCAAAAAATATTCTTAGAAATAGACTGGAATCCGGTTTATTTGTCTAAATGCCAGTGTGGTCCTCTGTAAACTGGAGTGGATTCTTAAAGCATGATTCACTTTGGGGTTCAATTGGTTTATACAAGGTGATGTCAAAGCATTCTGATGATATGTGGGAAAAGGATAAATCAAAAGTTGCACTGTATATTTAAACAACTGTCCATGGACTTTATTTTTTTCAAATCTTTGACTTTCCTTGGGGTATTGCCATTCAGGTAATGTTCTAGTGAAAATAACACTGGACTGGTCTTTTAGGCTCAACCAGTTTTTCCTCTTGGTTCAGCTTGTTTCGTTCAGGGACTTGGACAAATGGTTTAGCCCTTCTTCTAAAACTGCTGTATTTCATTGTAAAATAGAGCTTCTACTTCTGGCCTGTCAACCTCAAGGAGAGAATGAGTCGCAGAGATAGCACAAATGATTTTCGTAAACGTGCCAAATAAATATAAAACATTTCTTGGCCCTCCCTGGTGGCGCAGCGGGTTGAAGCACTGCACTGGGAAGTTGAAGCCACTTCTGCATGAGTTTGATTCCCGCCTGCCCCGGAGGTGCCCACATGGCGTGGCAGACCTCTCCTGGCCCGCCCGCAGCTTCCCTCAGCAGTATACTTCGTCGATCTGCCTGTTCTGCTCCCCACTCTGTCTCTGGTGAAGCCTTTCACCGCACCTGAGCCTCTGGCCTGTACCCCAGTTCTGTATGTACAAATAAGTAAATCTTTAAAAAAAAAATTTCTTGTTGAACTGTACTGAAAATTTTATACTTTTTGAAAGAAATATTTTCAAGTTCTAGAGTGTCACTGCCTAGAACTTTCGCAGAAAGAAAGCTGTGTATGACTGGAGGAGAAATCCATAAAGGTGGCAACCTTTATTTTCTGAATGATTTCCAATTTGAATCAGTTGTATGCATGTTCAAAAATTTCAAGTTCGGTAATCTAAGCTGCCCTGACTGACTTGCTTCATTTAACTTTATTCAATGACCAAAGGTATATTATTAAGCTGGTGTATTTTGGCTTAGTGGAGTTTACTAACACCGTCACAATTTCCTTGTTTACTGATACTACTGCAACTTCAAAAGTTGTAACTGAATGTGCCATGGCTTTCTTCTTGTGTGCACAGAGCTCCTGGCACCCGTGATCACAGGAAACTTAGAGAATCAGACAACAAGCATTGGCGAAACCATTGAGGTTTCATGCACCGCGTCGGGGAATCCCCCTCCACAGATTACGTGGTTTAAAGATAATGAGACACTTGTGGAAGATTCAGGTGAGTACAACATGTTTATCCTTCCTTGGCTGCAGAATTTTCCTGGAGATGTTATTTAAAACTCTTATTACTTCTTGGTTTGATTTTGGTAGAAAAAAAAAAAAAGCAATACTAGTGTTTCTCATCTGGCTCATTTCACAGACCCAGAGTTGGAGCTGTGTTGAGCCAGGAGTCAGATGAATCAGAGTTGATCCTCTCAGATTCTTTGAAGCTAGATAACAGTCCAAGATAAAGGCAGCACAAATATAAATATATGTATGTTTTTCTGGAACACACTACTGGACTGCATCATAAATAATGATCCTCTTTCTCTTCGCTTAGGCATAGTACTGAAAGACGGCAACCGGAACCTGACCATCCGCAGGGTGAGGAAGGAAGATGAGGGTCTCTATACCTGCCAGGCATGCAGCGTGCTTGGGTGTGCCAAAGTGGAGGCATTTTTCATAGTCGAAGGTCAGTGGGGTTTCACGGACCCATCAGGCAGTTAAAAAAATTACCCTGTGTTCATAGACCTTGGGTGGGTTATAGGTGGTTTTGATATTCATTGCACATCTTCTACTCTAAGTTGTATGTATTATTTTAACCAGAAAACATAATTAATGTTCTTTTGACTCTGCTTGTATCATATTTCCTATCCTGAATTGCTCGTTGTGGAATAATTCTTAGTTGAGAAGACTGAATATCTTTCCCTCATTCCTGGAGTGGTCAAATTAACTTTTATGGAAATAAGACCTTTGTATTGATTGAAAAAAATATTAGAATCAACGCTATCCAGAAAGTCAGAAAGGTTCAAAGTTTTCATTAGATTTAAGTAATATTTATTTGTGAACAATAGATTATTGCTTCTTTGACATGGAAAGTTTTGAGTTTTTACCTAAATGTGAAAGGAAACTTGCGTATGTCTGTAGGAATGATGGAAAATCTGGCATTTTCTCATATGGGAGGAGTAATTGTGGCAGAATATTTTATCCCCAGAAGCTTATTCCCTTCCCCCTTTTTTATAATAACTCATCAGAACAGTGAAACTGCAGTCTGGGTGATGGGATGGTATGAGGGGGAGAAAGAAGGATGGTGATGGAGGAATCGATGCCTTCCTGTGAACTCATCCTAACTTGTCTCTCAAAGTCTAGATAGCAATCTCTTTAATCTGTCAAGTTCATGTGCCAAGCATTGCATCTCAGTGCCCTGACATGCTTTCAAATCTTTAGCTATTACCATTTCATAACTGCACTTGCAAATAAAAATTTCAAGTGATGGCGATGGTTTTATTACCTCCAAAGCGCTTCGTGTTTTAGGGTAAATCGCAGGGAGACTTGCAATTCTTCCCCAGCTTGTGCTTCCCCTCTGTTAGTTGTCTGCAGCCGGTTACCCGTGCTGAACTTGGTGACGTTGGTACAGACGTTATATTTAATTCTGCCAGAAGAGAGTACAAAGAAAGAGAGAAATGGATATTAATTTTCCTACTAGGATCCCAAATGCTAATATGGGAATATGAAAGACAAACCTGTAGACAATCAAATTTTTTATTTTTTTTATTATGTAAATAGGCTTTTAAATTTCAATATATAAACGGAGTTAACTTCAGTAAGACCACCAGAGAAACAAAATCTACTTCCAAGTATACTTGGTGCTTGTCTCTCAACTTGGTGCTTAACTCTCATTTTGCTACTAATTAATTACTTGTCTTTGGACCTTCTAGAGGGCCTGCCTCGCAGCTTGTGACTGCTGCACTCAGTCGCTGGGAGACCCGAAGTGATAATTGCTTCCTTATCACCTCTTTGCTAGTCACTCTTAGTTAAAAGCCTCCTCTGGCATTTAATTCCTCCCACTCAGAACTGTCCACTGGAGCCCTGAGCTTCTGCAGCTTCCCTTGTCAACCTTCTAGCTTTCCCTTTTCTCTTTTCCTCTTATGAGTAGATTTTAATGTATAGTCTTTGGTCACGTAGGATGTTTTGTCTTGGTTTATTTGGATTCCTGTCACACGAGATCAGGGTAGTGGAAAGGTTACCTGGTGTTGGACAGACCTTATATAACTCTTAACCATTCTACCAATTTGCTGTGTGTTCTTGATGAAGTAGTTTAACATCTCTGAACTTGTTTCACCATCTGAAAACTGAGGGTTATTGACAAGATTAAGTGGGGGATGGTATTATTAACTGATGAGCTCCTCCTAGGTATCCAGAAGCTCCTTATTTCCATACATTCATTTCCCTATTTGGTTTCTGAAAATCTTTTCTCACACTCTGTACAAGCACATCAGTTATCAGTGTAAAATCAGACATTTCTTTTCTTCACATGGAATCCTTCTCTAGAGCATGATCTATTGTGTTCCTTGCATCAAAGACTGAACTTTTTCCAAACATTTTCTGCAGTTGTCATTTAAGGCACTGATAATTCTACCTCAAATTACTTTAGAATTTTATTGCTGGAAGTTTTCATGAGCAATATTTTGTAAACTTTGAATTATCCATTAAGAATTTTATAGACTCCATCCATGTAGAGGATGGTTGATAGCTTTCAAAGTTGATAGCTTGAGATCTAGCTTTAGTATTGAATGTTGTCATTTTTATAGCAAGTATAGCTGTTGATGATGATTCAATTTTATATTTCTAGGTGCTCAGGAAAAGACGAACTTGGAAGTCATTATTCTAGTGGGCACTGCAGTGATTGCCATGTTCTTCTGGCTACTCCTTGTCATTGTTCTTCGGACCGTTAAGCGGGTAAAAAGATAATTTCCCTTCTGCCCCATGCATGCTGATTCTCATGATTAATGAAAGCTGACTGGGGCTCTTTTGAGTTGTTTCTCCCATTGTTATTGGCTCACTGGGTGCAATTTTATTTTAATACAATAACATTCTTGACCATTTTCTTTTGGTTTTAATTGATAGAGGAGAAAAGTGCTTGAACTGCTTTGTGTCATTAAAATTTAAGAGCTTAATTCTGAACTCATTTGGAGAGGACACGGAAGCAGGAGTATAATAAAGCTGCTCTCAAACTCCGTGAGGTTTATTAGAAAATGAGACATCAGGAAAGGGGCTTCCATAAACAACAAAAATAAGCAAACAACAGCCACTTGGCAGGGAGTGTGTGACTGGAAGGATAATGCTTTCCAGGCCAACGAAGGAGAACTGAAGACAGGCTACTTGTCCATTGTCATGGATCCAGACGAGCTGCCCCTGGATGAACGCTGCGAGCGCCTGCCTTATGATGCCAGCAAGTGGGAGTTCCCCAGGGACCGACTGAAACTAGGTGTGTTTTCAAGTGCTGATAATTTGATGTTGGGTTCACAGGCATCTATTCTCCTATAGAATGACAAGAAATCTAGTCTATTCAAATCTGCTTTGGGTGTAGACATGGTCATTCCCTTCCCTTGAATTTGAGTAGTCATCCATTTAGTCAGTTAGAAGTGGGCTATCTGCACCGTCACCCCAAACAGAGCATTTGGAGAGTAAAGGGAGAGGCAGTAAGTAATCAAAACAGGACAAGGGAGTAAACTGGAGTGTCTCTGGAGAACTAGGATCGATGATGCCCCTTTCTAGCAAGAATCTCTGCAAGTCACTTTGGTGGTGTAATGTTCTGCGTTTGTTTCATTGTTATGGTCACTGTTGACTCTAGGTAAGCCGCTCGGCCGTGGTGCCTTTGGCCAAGTAATTGAAGCAGATGCCTTTGGAATTGACAAGACAGCAACTTGCAAGACCGTGGCCGTCAAAATGTTGAAAGGTAAAAGCAGAGTTATATGGTGATGGATCTCTGTTTCGTCTTTAAGTAAGTAAAGGCTCATGTCATGGCTCCCGGGTTAGGGTGCCCGCTGATCAGGGGTGCAACCAGCATAGAGGTGCCTTCATGCAGATGGGAACAAAACTCATCTTTTCAGGTTTGTTGTGTGGACAGCAAAGTTGAGGATGGATTTTAGCCTCTAACTTCCTCACCTTGAGTGGAGTTCTTAGAAAGGGCATAGCTTACATATACTCTGCGTTTGGTCTGGCAATAAGGAAGCAAAATATCTTGGTTATAACAAAATTGTTTCTTAATGTATCACTGTACATTAGTAAGCTAGTTAGAAGCCATCTAGAAATATGGAAAGAGATTTTATAGAACTAAAATTAGTAAAGTGCAAAAGCAACTTGTTCCCTAGAATTGGAATATGTAAATGATTTTCACTTAAGAATCTGCAAAATAAGAATGGGCCTATGAGGGAAAAAATATGAGTGAAAATTAAATGCTTAAGTGTTATAAATAAGTTGCTAATCCTAATAGTACTGCATTGCTGGTATTGCCATTTTAATTTGGCAAGATGATGTCTCTAAAGCTCTTTGCTCCAGTTGGAATGTGCTTTCGCCGATGGAGATAATGCTAGTGATTCTTTGCAAATAGGTCTTTGCACTTTGAAACCATCTCTCTCTCTTTGTCTGTCCTCCCTTATGGCTATTAACTTTGAGGATGCTCACTGGCGCCTGTGGTGTGGACCAAGTCTGGGAAGTATACCAGTCTATACCATATCAAACTCACAGTCTTAACCTCATCAATCTCCTGTGCCAAGTGGCCTTGCCAGCTGGCCCTTGTTAAGATTCCTACTAGGCACAGATTGACTAGAACTTCAGCATAGTCTCTAACACATGAGGATAGTTAATACATGGTGTTGCTTCCTTACAAGGAAGCACTGAAATAATCAGCCCCTAAGAAGCATAGTAAACCCAATGTGTGAAAATCAGATTTGGTAAAAGAAAATCCAGGCCTTATTCCATTTGCAGATGTATGTCCTACTTCGCAAAAGACTTCACAGTGGACTCAAATATCAAACCAAATTCTGTGTGCAACTAAAGTAAGAATTAGATGTTGAATTAGAAAATGTAATTTATACTTAACTTTTAGGGAAATGCACCTAGTCTATAAATTGGTTTCGTGTTTTATATATATATATATATAAAACCTGGGAAGTAAGTGGCCCAGATGTGTTCAATAAGCCACTGTCCTCCTAAGGCAGTGCCACCAAGTGTGACTTCCCTCTTTGTCCTGCATTTGTAGAAGGAGCAACACACAGCGAACACCGAGCCCTCATGTCTGAACTCAAGATCCTCATTCACATCGGCCACCATCTCAATGTGGTCAATCTTCTAGGTGCCTGTACCAAGCCTGGAGGTGAGTGACCACAGATGGCCATGATTGCCTGACTTGGGAACACATTTCTCTGATGGTGTTTAAAGGAAACCACTCTGCTCCCATGGCCTCCAGTTCCTTGACTTGGGGTGCTTTGCCGGAGTCTTAGCTCCAGATATATTTCATGGAGGTTAATGGGTGCTGTACATTATTAGGTGATTGTGTTGAAAAATATGTGGGGCCAATTTCCCCTTAAATTTTGACTGACCTTGTGGAATTGCCTTTTGGCAAAGAAATCATACACTGTCAGGGGATTAAGACCAGCAGATTTCGTTGTCTTTGTCCTCAATGAAATGTCACTTCTGTGACATTTTCTGTTTCATCAATATATTAAACACCGAGTGAGAAACATAAGTGAAAACACATTTTTCTTTCTTGACTTGCTGTGTAATCTGCAGGGCCACTTATGGTGATCGTGGAATTCTGCAAATTTGGAAACCTGTCAACTTACTTAAGGAGCAAAAGAAATGAATTTATCCCCTACAAGGTACGTCATTTTCTAACTTAACGTTACCCACATTGTAAAATGGAGGAAAACTCAAAATAGGTACAGGTTAAGATTTTAGTTGAAATTCTTGACTGTCATAGCCTTTTCTTGTACCATTTGAAAGGACATATTCTTCTCATATTTTATTTTTTGTGACTTTAATCGACTGACCCAGGAAAGGGTTGAAAAGGCGTGTGCGATTAAGGAAAAGGACAGCTGGAGGGAAGGACAGTTCTGGCTTATTTTTTCTCTCTCCTCTGGCCATATAGAGTATAAATGCCTCTATAAAGAGCACCCTAATGTTGAAAGTGTGCTTCAGTGAAACTTGAAACAAGGTATTGATCTCTTTAAGCTAAAGAAGGATCTAGGCTTTATGGAAAAAACACATTACATGGAACTTTTGTCCCAAATTTCAGCCCAGACTGTGATCCTATAAATGGAGCCCTTCTTGTCTGCTTTTTAAGAGTTACATTTGTTTCCATAGTTTACTACATTTCCCAGTCCCTCTTATATTAAAGTGTTGGTTCTTTTGCTTCTTTGTAGAGCAAAGGGGCCCGATTCCGACAAGGGAAAGAATATGTTGGAGAAATCACAATGGATCCTAAACGCCGCCTGGACAGCATCACCAGTAGCCAGAGCTCAGCTAGCTCTGGGTTTGTTGAGGAGAAATCCCTCAGTGATGTCGAAGAAGAGGAAGGTTTGTGTCATTGGTTTCAAGGCAGGGTGTTAGGAAGAATATTGTCTTGGGAAAAGTCCAGTACTAACATCCGAGAGGGACCTGAGTTTCTAGAGTACTTCCATTCAGTCTCCCCAAAAATGAAATGGGCAGAGTATAAGTTAGTAGAGGACTAGTCTGTGAGACAAAGCATGGCTTTACTTGAGAAATCTGAGTACCCTAGGAGGGCCGAGCAGTCAGCAACAAAGCAAGCTCAAGTACTGCTTGAAGAAGCCAACAACTGAAGTCATAGAAGAAACTCACTTCTCTTTCCGTTGATTTGAGGCCACAGATAGGATTTAATTAGAAGCCAAGTGAGCAGTGTCAGGCTGGGACTTAATCCCAAAGAGTGTGGGAAAGTTGCCTAAACCTCACATAATGTTCCCACCCTGGGTACCTCCTCTTTCTTTCACAAAATGGCGGCCAGTGGGTTGGAAACTCAAGGGTTTGAGACAGCAAGTTGGTATAGAAAGGGGCTCAGCCAGCAATTTTGCCTCCATTTCTTCATTTGGGAAATGAAGGGGGTTTCAGTAATTGTTCACTGAGAGTCCCTTATTCCTAAGCATAAGAAGTCATTGAGAAGAAGGCTCGTAGCCTTCTAAATGCAAGATGGCTATTAACAACTGCGTTTTCTCGGGTGTTTGTGTTCAGAAAAGAAGTCCTATCTTATCTTATCAGACCAATATTAGAGATCATTTTGAAACACCCATTAATGTCTTAGTGTTTACTTGTACCAGTTGTATGGAAGTAAATATCACCAATTGGCATAAATTCATTTTTCTCTCTATGTTCCTGTCATTTCTCATTCATATCTTTGAAGGAAAAAGCACCCTCACCGGTCAGTTTTAATATGCTTACAGTTCTTTCTCGACTTGAAAGTGAGAGAAGTAAATACATTCCTGGTATTTTTAGTTATCCGTTGTAGATTATAGTTTGACCTTTGGTCTTTGTCCCAGGACAGTGTGTAGAGAGAAAAAAGCCAATGACCCTGGATATTGTTATTTTATTTTTAGAGTTCTTGATATGAAACTATTGTTTATCCTTCTGGGTACAAACACGCATACACACACACACACACATACACCCTAGTTTAACAGTAAATTTGAAAAATGTCCTCTTCCTCTTACTGTTTGTGCCAATTTTACCTTCTGGATTTGATAGTTTGATTTAGTGAAAATGAAAAAGATATGTATGTGTGTGTGTGTATATATATATATATATATATATATATATACATATATATGTATATATATATATACGTATATATGTATATATATATGTATATATATATATATAGCCAAAGAGTATGATGAAGACTAAAAATACTGCAATTCAATAAATTTACAGAAGATAGAGTCATTTCCTCTCTGTTTTTACTTCTCAAAATTTAACTCTAAGTGTTAAAATGATCACTACTCTAACAAACTTAGAAACAAAGGGTTGGTGGGTAAAATACTGATCTCTGGCTTCCTACTTCTGACAGTTTCTGAAGACCTGTACAAGAACTTCCTGACCTTGGAACATCTCATATGTTATAGCTTCCAAGTGGCTAAGGGCATGGAATTTTTGGCCTCACGGAAGGTAAGAAGTAGATTATCTCTTCAGATCAGAGATTTGGAACTCCAGGTCCAGCACCTGCCACTGGGGCTCATTTTGAACTGTAATTCACTCGCCCTCCCACCCCAACTTGGGCTAGTAACAGCTCCCTATTAGGGGGCGCCATTTCTGCTAATACAGGGTATGTAAAAATTTCACATAATTAAGTCATCTGCTAAATAACCTCCTGAGCACCTAATATGTACAGCGGTCTTCTAAATATCAAGGCTACAACATGAACAGACAAAACTCTCCACTTTCATGGAGTTTGCATTCTAGTGGATGGAGCGAACAGTGAACAAACAAGTGAAACAATACAAACAAGTGAAATGTAGAGTGAGACCAGAGTCAGTGTTATGGGGAAAAATAAGCAAGAAATTGCCATAGTGTATCCAGGAGCACTGTGTTTGTGTGTGCATATCACTCTGTGTTTGTGAATATCCATTTTAAACAAAGGAGGCATGGAAGGCTTTGTAAGAATGCGACAGACATGGGAGCACTGACCTGGAAGAGGTGAGGGATTAAGACTTCATAAATCTTGGTGTAAGAAAGTCTATTTTGAATTTATTTTATATTCATTGCCATCCATCAAAAAGTATTTGTTAGGAGTATAAATAGAAACCAGGAAGGATAAGCTTCAGATGAGAGTGATTAAAAGAGCTAAAATTAGAAAAGTAGGCCAAACAAAGGCGGAGGCGGGGATGTGGCAAATTACAAATACTCCAGAGGTGGTAAACAGTGGCGGGAGTGAGGTTGGTTGCAGTCACTGCTCTGGAAAGGGGAAAGTGGATCCTTTCACATTAAGCAAGAAAAATTCCAATTGAGTTTCAGGAAAAACCATCAGTTGACAAAATGCATTTGTCCACAGCCTTCTGAGGGAAGACAGACTTAAATTTTCTGTTTTTTCTATAGTAGAGGGAGCTTCTTATCCCATTGCGCTTTGGAAGTTCAAAGCTTCCCACGACATCTGAGAGAGCCGTGGGGTTCAGATGTTTCTGCTTTAGAGCTCCTGTTTTCTCTCTCCCAAAGAGAAGGGAGAGAACCTGAGTCTTATAGGGCTTCCTCCCAAAGAAAATTATTATTGGAAACCAGAATCTGCTACTTACTTAGGGTTCCTGTTGCTGCCCGGCAGGTGAGTGGGGGACACTCCTACAATGTCTCTTGTATCTACCAGATGTTTTCTTGAATGTCACCTGGTTTGGGTGCTAAAAAAGGAAATGCTTTGGCTAAGGGGAAAATAGGAAGGGCTGTCTCCTGTTTGCAGTCTCCTCTTGTGCTCAGTCACACTAGATGGTGTGTTTCTGAATATGCCGCATTTAGCGGAAGTGCTCTCCAGATAGGGGATGGGGTGGTCAGCAATGCCAAGTTCACACCCCCTCACAAACCACTCCCCCCATACACTCTGACTTGACAGTTCTCATGGAGCCTTTCATTCATTTCTAAATATTTCTTATTTGCTCATAAATCTATCAAGTAGAGCTAAAGGTGCTTAATAATACAAAGTTAGATGGAATTAGAGAATATACTGAAAGAGAAACTGGGGAGCACAAAAAGAACAGAAGGAAAGACAATGAGAACTTGGTTTTTCTTTGTATGCACCAGAGAATCAGCCTGATCAATGAGAGACTGAAATTGCTTTGACAGACCTTCATGATAATCCAGTACATTGAAAGCAGGATGAGTCCCCTTGGGATGGTTTATCAGATCCAGTCCTGCTTCTGTTACGTATGGATTGGGGAAACCAGCAAAGGCCACCAACCCTCCCCCCCTCCGTTTCTGATTTATGTCTATTCATTCACAATAAATCCCATTCTGGGGCCTCTGAGAAAAATGTGTTTAACTGTGTATGGTGCCAGGTGAAAGGGATGTGTGGATGTGACCAGAAACACATTCTTAATTGTGTCCAAGAGGAATCTATTTATGACCTCATCATCATACTAAATCAGTAGCTCCAAAGTCTGGTACCCTTTATGGAATAAGCAGATGTGTGTCTCAAAAGATATTAACCCAGTCCTTATTAATCTGTTGGTTTTCTGATGTGGAATTTTTTTAAAGCATGAGGTCACAACAGATGTGGAAGAGATCAGCTGTGTCAAGACCTAATGCAAACATGATTCTTTTTGCAGTGTATCCACCGGGACCTGGCGGCACGAAATATCCTCTTGTCCGAGAAGAATGTGGTTAAAATCTGTGACTTTGGCTTGGCCCGGGATATTTACAAAGACCCAGATTATGTCAGAAAAGGAGATGTAAGTCTCAAAGATGAACCTGGTGACATTGAGTTGCAGAATTCAGGCTCCTCTTAGCAAGCTTCGGGGACCTGTGTTCAGGAACAAAGGAAGTTTTTTTCTTCAGATATCTGCTCAGCTGAGTTCTAATTCCTTGTCTGCTATCCTCTTAGGCTCGCCTGCCTTTAAAATGGATGGCCCCAGAAACCATTTTTGACAGAGTGTACACAATTCAGAGTGACGTGTGGTCTTTTGGTGTCTTGCTCTGGGAAATATTTTCCTTAGGTAAGTCATTTCTCCTTGTCTTCCCAACCAGAACCCAAATATGCCTTTCCTACTCATGTCGTCCACATTTCTTAGGTAAAACTTACTTGAAAAGTTTGGGCTGTAAAGTCCAAGAAAAAAGAGAGAGAGGTGATGAGGATGTCCAAGAATCAGATTCAGGGATTTCTAGAAAAGAAAAGAACTTTGTCCCTGCTTTATTCTAGGTGCATCTCCATATCCTGGAGTAAAGATTGATGAAGAATTTTGTAGGCGACTGAAAGAAGGAACTAGAATGAGAGCTCCTGACTATACCACACCAGAAATGTAAGACTAAACGTATCCATCTAATATCTGTCTTTGCTCACAAAAATTCTCCCCAGCCAGAAAATCTTCCATTATATCAATAGATGTCCAGTTTGTGTCTTCCGTCCCCCTTGATGTCTCCCTGGGTCACCTCACAGATTCAGTCACCTATGACAGATTAGCACAGGATCATTGCTTCTTGGAACAATAGTGCATTATATCCTAGTCTGACCAGTTAACTTTTTAAAATATGATTTGTTTATTTATATATAGCTTACATCATCGCTCATTTTTGTTCAGTGTTAGCTTTCTCCGTCCAGATGTAGTCCTCATAGAATCCCCACCACAAATTTACCTCTGCATCATTGCCATAGTTCTCTGTGCTCTTTCCTCCACTGTTCTATTCCCTCTCCCCTACAAAATGTATCTGATTTATAGTTTCCTGCCAATTTTTTTGTTATTATTTTTCCTCCTGATTCCTTATTTGGTTTCCCTGTATTTCTCCTATAAGTGAAGCTATCTGATATTTTTCTTTTTTTCTTCTAACTTATTTCACTGAGCAAAATCCCTTTTAGCTCCATCCATGTTGCTGTGAATGGCATGAGTTTATCTTTTTTGATGGCTGACTAGTATTCCATCATGCGTATATGTTACATCTTCTCGATCTGATCTAGTCATCTATTTTGGGGCATTTGAGTCGTTTCCATGCTTTACCTATTATAAATAGTGCTGCCATGAACATAGAGGTACAAGCATCTTTTTGAATTAACGTTTTTGTGTCCTTTGGGTAGATTCCGAGGAATGGAATTGCTGCAACCAGTTAGCTTTAGTCAGATGTTGATTTGGAAAGTTTTCCGTACACACTTGATCCTCCAAGTGTGGGTCCTCCATTGAATACATTTGCATTCCTCTTTTGTATCTTTGTTCCTCTTTCAGGAGCTTATTTTCAGCATCAGATCAGGAGGCCAGTTAATGATATCCGTGTTTGTGCTTCTCTAGGTACCAGACTATGCTTGACTGCTGGCATGGAGAGCCCAATCAGCGGCCCACATTTTCAGAGTTGGTGGAGCATTTGGGCAATCTGTTACAAGCTAATGCTCAGCAGGTTGGTAACCATTCATCCACAGAGTTTCTATGAAGTTCTTAGGTGATACAGGAATCGCCATTGCCTAGACCTCCTCCTGACGGCAGGCTCTCTCTACTCAGCCACTAAGAGAGAGCCATATGCTTCCAGATCTGAGCAGTCATGCTTTTCTAAGAGCTCAGCTATTGGCATCCTTTCCATACAGATGAGATCTTTCCATACAACTGGGAACAATCCTTATTGCTACCTATATTTTAGTAAGCCTTCTAATGCTCTTTTAAAATATATATAATCTAGTTAGTCCACAGAATATTAACCATGGACAATATTTCAAGGGATTTTTAATGTATTTTGCAGGCAAAAACACCTCCAAACCAGGCAAAATAGATGTTACTTTTCTGGCTACACCCTTAGGCCCCCATAACTTCCACTGGAGAATGTTAGCGTTGTAACCTTTACCCCTAGGAAGTTATTTAATCTCTAGTCAGTGCCTCTTACCACAGTGAATGGATGCCAATTTCCTCCTGCCTTTCTTCTGAACAGCTGGAGGACAATGGGTCAAATCTGTTTTTACCAATAAACCTTCCAAACATTTCAAGCTATCAAATTGCTCTTTATTTTTTTGTCTTGCTGAAATAATGTTAAATTGTGCAACCTTTTCTCAGAAGACCCATTTTCCCTGCACGTTTATTGCTTTCCTTTAGACTGTCATCGGTGTTTTCATTGCCTTGAAATGTAGAGGCTAAAATAGGATGCCATGCCCTTTAAAGGGCTTGGCTTGTGTCGACAGGGTTTTGCAAAGAAATGACTTCTCAGTTCTGCTACTACGTGGATGACGACAGGCTTTTCCTTCATTGCAGCCCGGTCCTCTGGGTCGTCCCCCCCCCACTCTCGAGTCTGGTCTTTGTTAGTGCCTTTAATATACTTTCATCCGTCTACCTCTTTCAAGACCCCTTTGTTTTTATGTTTAGTGTTGTCTTAAAGTTCCATGTTCAGATATGAAAGCAACATACCTCAGCCCCAAGCAGCTCCCCTGGTCTTTGTGAAGCCATAACAATAGCACTCTGTGTTTATTGATTCAGGATGGCAAAGACTACATTGTTCTCCCCATATCAGAGACTTTGAGCATGGAAGAGGATTCTGGACTCTCTCTGCCTACCTCACCTGTTTCCTGTATGGAGGAAGAGGAAGTGTGTGACCCCAAATTCCATTATGACAACACAGCAGGCATCAGGTAGTATATCAGGCCCCCAGCCCCTTGGGAGTGGTGCTTCAAGGTCATCTTGGGGAGGGTGGAAGGAAGACATTTTATAAAGCTCCTACATCTCGTTGTCACATAACCTTCACCCAAAGACTAATATGAAGGGAAGTGGCCAGAGGTCTGGGTAGGTGAGTTCCCGCCCGTCTGGGGTGCACATTGCTGCCATCATTCTTCCCTTTAGACTCCTGAGCCCTGCAGCTGCAGACGGCTGAAATGCCACAGTTTGTTATCGCCAGAAAAAGAAACCAATTTTACAAAGACATCTGTATTTAAATTGCCCCCATGTACTCTTTTATTAAGGTGAATGAGATGGCTTAGGAAAGATTCCGGAAGGGAGGGCTCTACGCATTTATGAAAAATCACTTACACCTCCCTGGCTGGGATACAGTGTGCCGTGGGGTATGTCCTGAATTGGACAGGACATTGCATCTTCAGAAGGTCCTCCCAAGCCTGCTTTGCAGCATTTGATTTGCATAATGGGACTTCTGGGCTTCTTTAAAAACACATGGTCCACAGTCCTTCCCCAAGCTTGAACAGGGCTTTCTTTTTTCTCTCTCCCAGCACCTGTGCATCAGGAAGGAGCTGATATTACTTTTTGCAGTATGATAGTAAAATTGCTTTGTATTGAGCCTGGGCCTCTTTCACTTTGTTTTGGTTCTCTACCTGCCTCTTTGGGTGTTTCCCTCCTGTAAAGAGGCCTCATGACAGTGGGGGCCCAGCCTGTCCTCTTGAGTGTACTGTGACTGTAGGGAGGGGCACTGAACTCTAGCACTTGGCCAGGTTGCCAGATGACAAGTAAGGAGGCAGCCTGGACAGTTGTCCGCAGGCATCACACAGGGCCAGCAGGGAGCCTGCACTGAGAGAGAAGAAAGCTCCGAGTGGCTAGAAGCCAGAGTTGAGCTGCACAGCCATTCACCTGCAGCTAATCTAAAGAGTTGAGTTTTTTTTTTTTTATATATTATCAGATTTGCCCACACGGTAACTCTCAGACTTAAGCAAGATAGGGGTTGTGATGCCTGAGGTAGCTGTTGAAACAAGGCTCAGCACCTTAGAGTTTTGGGCCACGTAGAAGTGCCCTGGACTCGCACTTCCGCCTCAGCTTGCTTATCCTGGAAATGAGGCAAGGTCAGTAGTGTTACTCAGAAGTGACTGTTTTGAGAATTATATGCTACAGCGTATCTCTAAGGGCCTGGCACTAGCAGCATCCAGGGAAGGATAGCTCTCAACTGCCCTGCTTCAAGACCAATCTCTCAGAAACATCCAGGTTCTTTGCTAGCTAACTCAGGGCTGTTTTCTCCTCTAACAAGGTGCAGGGGGCAGGGATCCTCAGAGAGAAGGAGTAATTGCATGAACGCCTACGTTCCCATGTTTAGAAATTCCTCGTTCAGACTCAGCTGGTGTTGGGATTGTTCCCACAACACTGCTGCCTTGTCTTTTATCGGGAATGAGCCATTTGATCATGAGCTATGTTCCTTGGGTTTTCTGTGACCAGGTGGGTTGGGGAGCTCAGCCAGTGCAGCCTCTTGGCTGCCTCGAACGCTGTGCAGGTGGTGCTGGGGGCTGACGAAGTCACGTTGGTGGTAATGGAAGTGCTAAATGTGATGCTGGATGGAAAACAGGGCTGCTAACACTTATCCCCAGAATCACGGACCAACGCAAAGCCACACTCCCAGCACAGGCCTGGCTCCCATTTTCTGGCTGTGCTTTTTTTGATTTGGCCTTTCTAGTCCAGTGTCTCTTTCATCCAGCCATAATTTAAACACTAAAATGGAAATTGGGGTCTTTTGTCTGCAACCCCTCCTCCCCCAGCTCCAGCTTTTCTCCTTTTATAAAAGTAAGACTGCACAGTCACCTTTGAGTTATCTGGGTGAGAAGAAAAGCAGCATGGAGGGCTTTGCAGGGGGCCCATCATTTTGACGCTCTCTTGTGGTTCTGCTCCCTGGGGAGAAGGAGATGAGGCTGGAGTTCCCCTCAGAGCTCTTAGTCCCCAGTCTTCACACGTCAAGTCAAGTAGAAAGCTAAGAGTGTTCTCACTTGCTTCTTCCTTTTAATCTTCAGTTCCATTGCGTTATAAATAGAGCTGGACAGAGATGTCAGGGTGGGAGCCAGCCTGCCTCCTGATTTTTGTCCCATTAAACTATTTTGAAAAATGTTTGCTCTGTTTATGCAGAGAAGAGACTGAGAGGTATGTGGGAGAAGGGTGGAGGGAGAAGGATCGTGAGTGTCTAGACTTAGCTTTGCTTCTAATCTCTCCTGTGAATCAATTCTGGCCTCAAGTTTGCATGCTTCCTGCAAGAAAACACAGATTAATTGGACTCATCTTTCTTTGAGGGTAGTTTGGGGACCATCTGTAGTTGCTCTAGCTTTTCCCCCGGGAGTTTCACCTCCCACTGCAAACAGCTTATCAAAGATTTCCTTTCAGTTCTTTCCCAGAGAAAGATTCTGGCACATACCATTTTCTTCATTCTGGTTAATTGCTAGTGATGATTAAATATGCCTTGTGGATTGATGCCTGGGATGGCCTGCTGGCTTAGATGCTCCTGAATTTGGCTCTCATGCTAGGCTGTGTGAAGCAGAACTGTCCTTTTTTCACCTTTTGTATATCTCATACCTCCACCCCGCACACACATACACATACACAGTCCATGCACACACTTGAAAGCATAGTATGTGCACACACTAGGTGCTTAATAGCGACTGATCATTTGCCCCACTTGCTCCTTCCTTTTCCTACCTTTAAGGGAATTGATGTGGAGGAGGATGTCAGAAAAATTTCAATTCCTTTTAAGGAACTGAAGGCGGATGTCAGAAAAATTCTGCTTAGGCATTAGTGTTAGAAGACCTAAATTAAACCCTAGTTGAGCCATCTATCCTGAGGTCATACCATACTCGTCTCCACGTGGGAAATATAATTAAAATAGAAACCCATTTTGCAGTTTTGGGAGGAGTGGATATAACAGTAGCTGTGAAAACAATTTGTCAACTTTCTGGAAAGGGTCACACAATTTTGGGAATTACTGAGCTCAGAAGTCAAGGAACTGCCCTTTCTAAGGTGACTGTATTACTGCCCACGACACCAACTTTTGCTGATTTGACACCCCAAGTATTCTGGCAACTGTTCACTTCCCCAAACCCTGTGGACATCATCTTCCTTTAGTCAGGCTACCCTACTTCTAGGTAAATGGTCTAGCCCCTTAAATAGTCTCTCCCCCTTTAGTCTTACTCTCAGAGTCGTCTTTCCAAAGGGTATGACTGACTTTGTTATTTTCATCTTAAAATGTGGGAAAATCATGAGTGGCTGCTCATTGCCTCAAATAATCCAGATATGCCAATTATGTGATTGTGGACAATTCCTTACCCTTTCTATGCCTCATCATCCTCATTTATAGTTGGCATAACAACACCCACCCCTGGGAGGGGTGGTTTCTGCACATTGTGAGACATGGTTGAGGTGCATGTAGCTTCTCCATCAAGGATTCCTGAGTGAATGGAAAATGAACAGCTGATGCTGGTACCAGTAGTTTCAGGCGGCTGCCACTTTGAGGGGCTGGACTTAGGAGAAAGTAGACTGTGCTCTCTTTGTCTATCATGTCCTCTTTCTTGTGCTGTTTCCTGGCTGAGGATGTCACTGTGAGCCTCATTCTCTCTTTTCTGTAAGCTGTGGGGTTGTGGGCAAGGGAGGGTGACTTGGTTTCTATTCTCTTCCTTTGGCCCAAGTGAGTCTCACTCCACCTGATGACAGAAAATATAAGGAATTTGTGAAGTTCCCAGAAGTTTGGAATTGGAAGTGAAGTTTATATTTCTTGGGCTGTTGGGCCCTGTTTCTGGAAGGTATTTCCCTTTTCTCCTCTTGGGCTGTCAATGATTTTAATAGCTCACTCAGATTCACCCAAAGCCACATAGCAGGAAGGGGGTTACCCATAGGGAGCAGGTGAGGTGTTGGCTAACAAGTCTTATTCTTTAGACTCCTCAGAAAACTGACACACTTAGGGATTCAAGGGAAAACAAGCTTTGGTTGGCTGATAGAGCATTACCCTTTGTAATGCCTCTCACCATCTACCATTTGCTACCTCATTCACCCTCCAAATGTCCTTGTGTGTCAGGGAGGGAAAACTCTTGATCATATATTTTAAAAATGGGGCAACAGAGGCACAGAAATATTCCTGACTTTCCCAGTTCATGCAGTCGGTGGTAGACTTTGAAACAGACAAAATATGCCATGTTCTTGAGCCACTGCCCTTCCCTAAGACCAGCAGCTTTGCAGGCTGAATGTGAGGCAGTGATGTCTGGCTCACCTTGCCCTCTACATCACGCCTCTATGCTATGGAGAAGGAGGAGTTTGTCTTCATATTCTCCTGGGTTCAATATCCAGTACTGAATCAGGCGAAATTCAGTGAGATCTGCAGGTGTTTTTCTGCCCATCTTTCATTGAATGATTGCTCTCAGCATTATCTAGAAAACCTTTCCAACCAAATGACCAGAAAGAGGTGAAACACTCAATAAAGTGTTGAGAGCTCAATGGAGGACTTACAAGTAATCAGAAGGCAGTGGATTAGCCTGGACCTCAGAAATACAATTCAGAGGAATACAGGGCCCCTCAGTTATGTCATATTTTTAAGTGACATTCACAGGAAATTAAGCCTTCAAAGTGTGTTATCAGAGAAGATTTTTTTGTTTTGTTTTTTTTGTTTTTTCCAAAGGATGTTTTGAAGGTCTCTATTAAGCTTGTGGTTGAAAGATAATGAACTTAGGTATCACTTATAGTATCTGCAGCCAAATATACCACCACTAAAATATAAATATTTGTTCTTTTATAGTCAGTATCTACAGAACAGTAAGCGAAAGAGCCGGCCTGTGAGTGTCAAAACATTTGAAGATATCCCAGTGGAGGAACCAGAAGTAAAAGTTATCCCAGATGTAAGTACATCTTTTAAAAATAGTCTTAGAAATAATATTAAGGATGAAACATTAGCTAGGTAAATATTAGTCTAAGTATTACAGTCTCGGAACCTCATTACAAGGCTGTCCTCGAGGGTATCTGTTTTGGGGTCATTACAGAGAGGAAACTTAGCAGGGTCCCTTGGTTTTTTTTATAAGTGCAGCCCCTGCTCTGAGCTTCAGGATGTCTAGCTTCATGCTCAGTTTCATTCATGCATACACAGTAGCATTGTGAAAACAGGCGTGGGAATGAGCTCTTTTTGTCCTAAATCCCGCTCTTCTTTCAGGCCTGGATTTCCTTCGAGGAAGCAGTTGCTTCCTCTTACAGCTCACACAGTTTTCTCCCTTTGATACCTTGACCTCCTTCTGCAGAACACTGGAACATATTATCTGATAGATGGGTTTAAGACATCAGTTGCATTAAATAGTTGGTCAATGTACATACAACGTGCCATCTCATTGTCTCTTAAAAAGGACAACCAGACGGACAGTGGTATGGTTCTTGCATCAGAAGAGCTGAAAACACTGGAAGACAGAACCAAATTAGCTCCATCTTTTAGGTAAGGCTCAGCGAATGGAAAAGATAAATTTTAATAGGAGAAGTCTGAGAAGGAACTTAGGGCTTTCCACATAGGTTCTCCCTTTTGTATGTCTTCATGGGTCAGACAAATTTGCATTAACATAACTAAGAACTGAAGCAGATCAAACAATTAAGTGGCCAATCTGAAATAAATTATAGAGGATTTGATCAGGTCTGATAATTTATGAATTAGGGAATTTCTGTGTGCATTTATTGTGGTCACTGACTAGAATGTAGTTACAAAGAGGGAATTATATGTGATCCCAAGACTACCTGCTGATTAAAATCTTTGCAGACTGTGTGGGATGGGTACATCTGTCCTTACTAAGTGTGATACACAAATAAGCCACTATCTGTTTGTTCAAGTTACTTAAGATTACTGGCTGAATTATTAAGTACTTAATTGGGGAAAAATACTAAATGTGACTTTGAATAGACTTCCCCTATAGGAATAGCAGTTGTTTTAAATAGGTGGACCTGTTTCTAACCTAAAATAAATAAAAATATGTCTTTATAAGAATGTACAGAGTAGATATGTATTTGCTAGAGGACTCACTCTAAGTAATGTTCATAAAGATTTTGATCTACTTATTATCCAACTATGATAGAAAATGGGGGCATCCATGTGTTCTTGAGTGATGCTTATATAAAAAAGAAAAGCCAAAAACAATAAAACATGCCATATGCATTTTTATTGTTTGCCATAGACCTCAGGTAAGAAATTGTGAAAGTCAGTCATACATTTCATTCACTGATTCAAAATATAGCTAATGAATAGTACCTTTTGTGTTGCGTGTCAGGCTGTTGACTGAGACGCTAATTTTATTTTGATGAGGTTGTCCTGTAAGAAAAATTGCATTTCTAATTATTGGAAATACACTTGAAGTCATGTATGAGTAGTTTTTAACTTGAGTGGTTTGCATAAAATATGGGCATACCTCTTAAGAGGTACGTGAGACAATGTAAATCAAGAAGTGTTAGATCAACACAGTCTGTGTTCCTCAGCTTTGACTTGATTACTGTCGGCAATGACTCCACGCCATTGCAAACATCCTGTAGCTGCTGCTGAGAGATCTGAGTCCTCTGTCCTAACAAAGAATGTGGTTTGGATGAGTAAAAAGCAGTTTTTGACATGTCTGGCTTGATTGCACACATGCTTCAAGTTATTAACATTAAAAATTGCTCAAGATCTTTATTAACACCACACACATGCCTTGTCATCCCCTATTGACAGTGCGGGGAAAACACAAGTGGACTTTCAGAATATCCCCATTTCCTTTAACATCATGAAAGAGTCCCGTTGGCTCCCATCATTGTATACAGTCATGTCACTCAGCAATGCCAGAAAAATGTTCCATTGGTTGGAGCCTTGACATATCTCAGGAAGGCTCCCTTTCATCTCAGCTCATGCTTGAAGGGCTTGGACCTGAATAAGAGGACTTACCTAAAACTAATCCTTCATGCTCATACCTGAAAATAGATGTGGTCTGAGTAAACCTCAGAGGTTGATTAACAAGTGGTTGCAAGAGGGACTCAGAGGTTGATTAACAAGTGGTTGCAAGAGGGACTGGTGTCTCCAGGGAGACTCGGGGTGGGGGTGGGCTGAGGGCAAGGAGCAGGAGAACCTCCAGGTCATGTGGTTGCCATTTCCTCCACAGTGGACTGATGCCCAGCAAAAGCAAGGAGTCTGTGGCATCTGAAGGCTCGAACCAGACAAGTGGCTACCAGTCCGGGTACCACTCTGATGACACAGACACCACCGTGTACTCCAGCGAGGAGGCGGAACTTTTAAAGCTGGTGGAGATGGGACCGAAAGCTGACAGTGCAGCCCAGATCCCCCAGCTCGACTCCGGGACCCCATTGAGCTCTCCTCCTCTTTAAAAGAAGCCACTCATGAACCCCACTCCTGGAAATCACAGGAGAGGTGCTGCTCAGATTTTCAAGTGTTGTTCTTTCCATCACCAGGAAGTAGCCACATTTGATTTTCATTTAAAAAACAAAACAAACAAGCAAACAAAAAACCCAGGACCTCAAACTGCAGGGAACCAATCCTCTAGGCATTTCCTGAGAAGATGCTGGTGACCCAAGAATGTGTTTGTCTCCTTCCTGTGCTGATCTGATTCTCTCTCTCATTCATTCAAAAGCATGCAAGGTGCCTCCCACTTTGAGTCTCCCCATGGGTTCAAGCAAAAGAAGTTCAAGGAACATACCCAGTCTCAGAGAAGTAACAGTACCTGGGAAGCGGATACTTCTGTAAAACTAGACGAGAAAACAGGCCTTGCAAGTGCTTTAGGTGTTGAAGACTGGAAGACCTCTGGGGCCCTGGGGGTGACTTGACCTTAGAAGCTTCGTATGGAATATGGGTCCGGAGCCGGCGGGATGTGGAGTTGGGCTGGATAGACAGGAAGGTATTGGCTTGCTTTGAGAGCACACTGGAGCCTGCAAGAACACTGTGTTGGCTGTGGTGGAGGTGGACATGGGGTCTGTTAGAAAATGTAAAAGCATCAGATGAGGTTACTCATTTTAGAAGTTCGCGTGCTTTTCCCAGTTGGGCTAAACGAGAGTTCCTTATGCTATTTCCGACTCCTAATGAGAGTTCCTTCCGGACTCTTATGTGTCTCCTGGCCAAGCCCCAGGAAGGAAATGATGCAGCTCTGGGTCCTTGTCTCCCAGGCCAGCCCTTTATTCAGACCACCACAAAGAAAAGACATTCAGACGGAGGCTCCCTGTCGTGTTGAAGCTTTCTGGCTGTATAAACCAGCTTCTGGTTTCTTCTGGATGAATACCCACATATCTGTCCTGATGTGATATGTCTGGGCCTCCGTATAGTAGGTTCCGTGTCAAGCTGTGGTGTCAAAGCGTCAGGAGAGATTTTGCTTTGTTCTTCCACCTTCTCCTCAGCCTTCCTCCTTCTACCCCCAGCCAGTCAGTATTTTAGTAATTTGGCCTCTACACCCTAGTAAAAGCTCATTTGGTGTGTGTACTCTCTGAATGATTATTAGCCAGGTTGCAAATTATTTTATAACCAAAGTTATAACAACATCTACTGTATTATTTAGATTTTTAACATGTAAAGCTGTTTCTACTGGTTTCTGCCCTTGTTCTTTCCTTTTTAAAAAAGAAAATGTATTTTCCCTTTGGTACCATAGTGTGAGAGGCTGGGAACCAATATTAAAACATACTATGGCCCATATATTTATAGTCTGTTTATGTAGAAACAAATGTAATATATTAAAACCTTATATATAATGAACTTTGTACTATTTACCTTTTGTATTAGTATTATGTAGCAAATACCAAAAGTCGTAAAGCTTTAGCAATTGATGCCATTTTAGTAAAAACATTGAAAATCTTGCAGGGATCCTTTTGGAAAGTCGCAGGACTCTTTGGTTTCTTTTTCTTCTAAAATGAAGGAGGGTGAATTAGATATCATTGGTTTTTGATTTTTACTGTACCCTTTATCTATAAAAGATATTTTATAAAAAGTTTAGAAAATGGGGCCCCTCCTGGTGGCGCAGCGGGTTAAAGCGCGCAGCACTGAGAAACTAAAGCCACTTCCGCATGAGTTTGATTCCCGCCTGCCCCGGAGGTGACCACATGGCGTGGCAGACCTCTCCTGACCCGCCCGCTGCTCCCCTCAGCAGTGTACTTCATCAGTCTGCCTGATCTGCTCCCCACTCTGTCTCTGGTGAAGCCTCTCGCCGCCCCTGAGCCTCTGGACTGTACCCCAGTTCTGTATGCACAAATAAATAATCTTTAAAAAAAAAAGTTTAGAAAATGATAAATGTAGTCTTAGGAAGCTAATACAATGTGTAGTATTATTCAACTGCTTTGAGGTAAATGCTTATGACGTAGTTGCTTCGCCCCCTCCTGCTCTCTCTCACACACGTGCACACGCAATAGTCTGAGCACTTTTGAACTGCTTAAAACGTGGAGTGAAAGATACAGGATGAATTCTCTAGCAGCTTTTGCGGGCCTCCACTGAAGCCCAGGCCTGATGGAATAGCCAGTCATGAAAATCAGAGGGTGAGAGACCTGTTGAGAAATGGCTGGCCGAGGCAGCACAGGGAACCTTGGCAATAATGTCTTCCTCTTTATTTGTAGTGTCAGAACATCAGAGCCATCCTTGTCACTGTGATCGATTATTTTTGCCTGAATTCACTAAGTGCAATTTTCTAATGAATCTTTGGCACCTTGGTGGCCCTACTTTTTGTAATATTTTTAATATAAGGTTTTTAAAATGCTTATATAGTCAAATATGCCTATAAATTTTTATGACTTCTAGGCATTTTAGTCTTATTGAGAAAGATCCTAGCCTCATTCTAGCCTCCAGATTTCCTATCTTTCTTCTTTCTTTTATCACATTTTTTTTTCATTTAGCATAATAAATCCATTTGGAATGTATTCTTGTATATGGAGTGAGGTAGGATCTAGTTTTGCTTTCTTCAAGCATTTGTCTATTACAGCAGGATCATTTATAAAATATACCTCCTCTGTATTTGAGGAAATACACTGTATAATAATCCAGTCCTATCATCTCCCTGAGACATTCTACATGCCTTTATGAGGGAGAAGAGGATTGCCATGGTGAGTGTAACTGACTCAAGGAATAGCATTCACAGACTGGTCACTGACTGGGATAAGAGGAGGGTCTTCTCTCACACATTGTTACCTCAAGGTCAGGTCTGGTCCTTGTCTGTTTCTCTTATAACAGTGTTGTCCAATGAATGAATAGAAGAAGAGCCTGGGGTTTTACTTCAGATAGAGAACTCATTGAAAAATTGAATTTTCTGTTGGAAGAGTTTTTATTCTCATAAGGAGCTCTTGACACTGTTTTCAATGCCAGGAGTTTGGATTCAGTCTCAACTTCACACTTTATAAAGAAATACTTTCAGCACCTCAGGTGAAATGATTAGGTGATGAGGTTTGGCCTCTCCTCTTTTCTGTCTTCCACAGCCCCTCGTTTGCTCCTGTTACAGAGAACTCCGTGGCTTTTTAAGGGCTTCCTGAATGGCCTTGTTTTCAAAGCCTAATTAGATGCCGTTAGCCTGTTTCTGGTGAGACCACCCTATCTCCCCATAGCTCTGGTCTCTCCCCTCTGCCTTTACTTTGTTCTTTTCCCTCCTCTCAAGCTCCTCTGTCTCTTCACCATCCATTTATCTCTTCCCACTAACCTTTTCCTCTGTAGCCTCCACCCCCACCCCAAGCAACTTTTCTCCTCAGCTGCATCACAGGAGAGATGAGCGCAGTGGAGAGGTTTAAATTTTTTACTCCTGGACTCAGTTTTCCTGTAGATGTACATTGGCGATTCCTCGTCAATGAGGGAAAAAACAAAGCAAAATCTCTAACCCACAACTCTGTAGTTAATTAATTTCCTCGCCTCCTAGCTTACCTTTCTACTTTTCACGCAGATTATTTATCAGTGACATGAGAAAATGTAGGCAAACCCAGAACACTAAGACCTTTGAGAGACTAGCTCTTCCTGCACGTCTTTCCACATCTGCCTGCATTTTCCCCGTAGAGGCCATGGGCACATTACATCTAGAGGGCTTTAATCTGTTTTCATAAGATTTAATCTGTTTCATAAGATTGTATTTTCAATGTGAGTCTCTTCCATGGAAGGGCTAAGACATAAATAAAAATTGGTGTAGTCTTTGTGAAAGCAATTTTAAGTCTAATTTTGGGGCGGAGGGAACATTTACAGCATGCTCCATGATAAAGCTTGATAAAGAGATTCAAAAAGTAAAATAAAATCATTTGCTTTGGTTTTAATCAGAATGGAGAGAAGTAGAGGAATCTGGGAAGAATAAGCCAGAAAGATATTAACATCCAAGTTGGCCTGAAGTTCTGGAGCTAATGTAATAGAACATACCAGCCTCGGCTGAGTTCTGACTCAGAGATAAGGGCTTTGAGCTAGAAAAAAGTATTCTAATGAAGACTACTGATAAGACAAGGATGATAGTAAACTGATTGATTTCAAGTGAATGTTAGTGAGAAGACATCAAATTGTACCTTAGATTTTATTTTCTTTACAACCTAAGACCTTTGTGTAACTTCCTGACACCTGAAAACACCATTAAATTCAGTAGCTCAATTTTTTTTCTTTTAAAATAAAAGAATAAAGGAAAATTACATGGCTTAGTTAATTATTTTAGCCTCACCTGGTGTTTATTCCAAGTGCTTCTGTGATCAGCGTCCTTTACCAGGAACTGGTGGCAGCCTACCCTCATTACCTTGATTCCTGGAAACGCACAGCTCTTAGGTATGGTGTTCTAGAAGGGCAGTGGAGAAGAACACCTGACTTTGCTCTGGCTTTCTCTACTCTTTGCTCTGCTTGGCTTCTTCCTTTTACAGGAAGTGACATTTGGGGGGAGTGAATTGAGGAGAGTGGGTTGAGTTCTTCATTGTGGAAGGTACTGTTACTATGTGACTCAGGCCTCGGCAGGTCGGAGGACTCTGGGTGTGGGATGACTCATCATCTAGAAACTGCTCTGCAGGAGAGGCCAGTAAGAGTCTGCTGCTGGTTGGGGGGGGGGGGGGAGGGGAGGTCCTTTAAGCTGGAACGGCTTATCTTTAAGAGGATTGAAAACCATTCACTGCTGCTAGAAACACAAGTGGAAACGAAAATGGCCCAAAGCAGAGAATTCAAGCTACATGGATGGATAGCAGACAACCCACAGACATCGCCCAGATTAACCGGATATCTAGCAAGACTGTCCACAAAAATCAAGTACCAAAATTCAACCCTTAATGCAGCATTGTATGGACTTTTATTGTATTACTTGTTTATACTGGCTTTATATTTTACAAGACTGACAAATGCTTTTACAAAGTTCATCAATATTAACTTATTTAACTAACAGGAGCCCTGAAGGGAAATGTGGGCATCACAGCACAGAGTAGGAGGCAGGCCAGGGGAGGACACAGAAAGGGAGCCTCACTCATGATTTCCGTTAGTGTGCGATTGGCATTTTGTGTTGTCAGGAACCTTAACAGCAGTGGCTGATGCTATTTTCTTTTTTACGTTGATTAAAGGTTATCAACAGAGCCATACAAAGGAGAAACTCCAACCCCAATTTAGAGTTCGCCATATATCTTTATATATACTTACTATATATATAAATTGTTGTGCCTTAATGAATGAAGCATAGTTCTCATTCTTAGTACACTCTTTATTCAGTCCTTTCTGAATAAAGATCTGAGTTCTAGAACGCTTTTCAGCACTTAGCACATAGACTTAACCACAGGGAGACTTACCCCGACTTCAGAGTTTGCACGCTCATTGGAACACCAGGTAAAAAGCTATTTGCAGATGGCCAAGGAAGGCGGGCAGGTTTGCCTTGTGTGACAAAATTTGAGCTTCACTTCTAAGCACCCCGCTAGTGCTCCCGAAGAATTCTGGTGGCACCCGCTATGTGTCAACACAGTAGGAATCTTTGACTTTATCCTAAGTAACATTGCGTTGACCTTTGTATTATTCTTCAGCATTTTAATCTTTCGGGATGAAAATCCAAAGTATAGCAAGAATAAATTCCATCACTGGCATTCATTTTACTAAAAAGCCTGCTGCAGGGATTGTTTTTTACATAACGATTCCCTCCTGGCCATTTCCAAGTATTGCCATGCAAAATTTCATTAGGACATCTGCTTCCCAAATCAGAGTGTACTCTTATATAAAACCACCTTGAGAATCTTTGAAGCAGCCAAGACTTGAGTTTCTTTTAGTTCAGTCATCAGGATAGATCCTGATCTAGTGCTCTGTCCCCTTTTAATATGATTGGCAAATTGCCGTGAGGACCTGTTGTGAAGAGAGAAAAGAAAATCCTTATTATCCTCTTATCGTCGTATTCATCAATGTATGTCTGTGTTCTGCCTGCCTAGCTTTGGTTCCCGTGATCTCACTGGAAGAGCTAACTGCTTCTGTTTGACTGCAGAGCAAGATAAGAGGCTGTCATGTTAGAATATATTTCTCAGTCAAATCTTAATAGAATCAGTTATTAAGGCTCACTTGAAAAAATGTGTTAATTTTAAATGGCATATATTAAAACCAGTTTAATCATAACCGGATAGAATTTGTAGGTAAATATACACTATGGAATTAACTTTCATTATGTTTCGGGACTTATGGTGATCGACCTTCCGTGTAGCTCTGCGGTCACTCAGACCTGAACAGTGTGAAAAGCAGAGACCTAAACTGTCTGCTAGCTGCCCAACACTGAGTTGTGCCTACCTCGTAGGTTATCTCATTAAATCCTTGCCATGGTCCCTTCTAAAAGGTGCTACCACAATATTACAATGGAAAATTGGTGGTTAAAAGATTGAAAGCCCCAGTCCCACAATCATGTTAGTATTGAATTCAGTCTAACCTCCTTAGGGACACATTCATATTTGAGACAGGACTCAGGAAGGGAT